CTTCTTCTTCTTCTTCTTCTTCTTCTTCTTCTTCTTCTTCTTCTTCTTCTTCTTCTTCTTCTTCTTCTTCTTCTTCCTCCTCGCCTAGGTCTGCTGCTGATTTCCCTCCTCCCTTGAGAGGCAGACGTCGATAGGCGAACAAGTAGGCGTTTTTGGTGGCTTTCTTCTGCTTGAGCGCTGCTGCATCCAGGGTTTTGACCTGGGCATCATCGAAATGATTCCATTTGCCCTTTTTGCCTTTGGCCATGACGGTATAATGGCCTCCTGGGAATTCTTCGTCTACTTTATGATGTAAAACGATCGCGGTCAGCTCATAGCTCACGCTGCCATTCCATGCAGTACTTCCTTTGTCGATCGTCAGATCATCCAGTTCAATCGGGTTATATGTCCTTTCCAGCTCCCCTTCCGCGTTGACCTTCTGACGATCCACTTGTATATACAGCATTTCGGGGAGCTGCGTGATGATCCGCCGAGAGGACAGGACCCCTCCACATTTGCCGCACTTGGGCTTTGCTTTGGATGTGGCACCCCATTCCTTGATGACATCCTCCATCCGAGTCTTTTCCTCCTTGTCGAGACTGGCGACCCGCAAGACAGGAGATGACTGAGGGTCGGCTGATATTTCAGCTGCTGCACACGCTGTGCACTTTTGCAGTTCCTCCGTTTTGACCTCGAAGATCTCCTCCAAGTCAGTTTGGCTTCAGTTTGGTTAGTCTGAACTCGCACAATGATGGGAAGGAAAAAACAAAAAAGAAGAGAACCTACACCATCGGGATGACTTCCGCCTTCATTTGCTCATAAAGTGCTTCAAGATACTCCATCGTATCTTCTTGATGCTGTCCCTCGGTTTCGTCTGTTCCCTTCCACTGTAAGAAGACCTCTGAGGACAATGCGTCCAGGTAGGCATTGGCGCCTTCATCATTCCCTGTCCAGTACGCCACCATGGCATCCAAGAAGACACAGGCCTTGCAGGGGTTACCCTGTTGACCCCCCACACATATAGGACCCCCTATGGGGGCATGGTGCTTTATGTACCATTTCAACCAATTCAGGAAGATTGGAGAATGCAATAACACCTGGAAGGCGGCATTTCGGTAACAGAGATTCCCGCAATTAGAAATTCCTACAGAGGATCTCGAGGGGAAGCTGGCGGGCCATTGTCGGGGGACCACTGACTACGGTGGGGTTAGGGCATCTGGCATCACTTGGGCTTTGGGGGACTGACTCTGAATTCTCCTTTCGCTTTCGCTTTTGCTTTTTTCCCTTTCGCTTTCGCTTTCGCTGACTCTTTTGTCTTTGATTCGGCCATTTTCGAGTCTACGATTTCTTGAAAATGTTGATATTGTTTTTTAATCCGGGTTTCACAGTCTCATATATACACGAGTTCTTGTTTCTTGTTTTTAAAGAAAATGAGTGCCGTGCTCGCCTTGGGAGCATCTGCGCACACTCTTTGATGGACGGGTTCTTTCATGGCTCGATACCACCGTTCTTTGGGGTTCTTTGGGTCTCAAAGGGAGTTGCTTTGATCTCGATTCTGAATCTATAATTAAATTTGAAGGGGGCAAATGCCGAGTCGATCCTTCACATTTTGGGCAGGACTCTATACTGTACGAGCATACTCTATTAGTTCCACATACTTCTCCATAGTCATAGTCATAGTCATATACTAATATACTACGAGTATAGTATATTCATACTTAAGCATCATTCTAAAGTTGATATAAGTCATTAATATCTTGAAGGATCAAGAATAAGAATAAGAGTCGAACCGGTTCCTGTTTCAGGGTGGATTAGTTCCGGCCGAAAGACCGTTGCGCCACTGCAGAGCTGAAGTGGACCCGACTCGTGTCGTTAGTCTCTTAGTAGCAGTACTTGGGTAGATTTAGGTAGCATTACTCGTAGTAATACCGAATATTAGTTAATACTCGTAGTTCAGAGTAGTTCAGTATAAGTACAAGTAGATAGATCAGAAGAGTAGAAAGAAATAAAGTCAAATGAAACAAAAGAAAAGAATCAAAAACAATGAGTCCTACGTGTCGGACAACTCCACTCTCTCCACACCGTTATTCTGCATCATTTTCCCCTAACACGAGTAGTACTCGTACATCAACCGGATCGCCACTCGGACATCGCCCGCTCAGGGATCGTCTGTCAAACAGATGCATCGATACGAGTAATGTAAGCTGTCGACGGAAATGATGACAGGAAAAGGTATAGCTTGAACCAAACGGGTGTTTCAGACCGTGATCGTCGGGGGGAAATTAGGCCCAGAGAGGAGAGGAGTCGAGTCGAGTCTAGAGTCAGTCTAGACAGGATATTCGTAGTTATATGTAACTAGGAATTATAACTAGGAACTCGTGTTCCCAAGGGTTTCGGGTCATTCTGGTTATCTTATTTATTATTACTTCCCCACTGGTCCCTTAATCCCATTGTTCAATCTTGAATTCTAGACCGTATACTCTGTACTCTGTCAACGTTATATTAGTGAAGCAATAATCTATACTCATATTATACTATATACTTAAGTTATAAGTGATATACTGTCCAAAGTTGAATATTACCTTTATAGTCTATAGTACTACTTATAACCTATAACTTATAATAACTACGAGTAATAACTATGTACAATAACTATTACCCCTACAATAATATAGACCCACTGCAAATACCGGAGCAGCAGGAGGGGCACAAATTCCCCGACTGGTTGGAAAGCCGAAGCTTCACACAAACCGTTTGCGCAACGGCACGGCATTAGCGTCTGGGCCGGCGAAGACTCATTTCACCGCAGGGTGATGCGGGTCCCCGTTAATTTTATTAGTAGTATTAGTATTATTAGTATTAGTATTCTGTGTATTATAGTATTATTAGTATTAGTATATTATAGTATTATTTAGTGGAGGTGTTATTGGCTATAATTCTATTCTATTCTACTGTTATGTACTGTTAATAACTGTTTATGGTTAACTGTTTATCAAGTATGAGTATGAGTATAAGTATGGTATGTATTATAGATGTATTAATACCGGAGATTTCATGCCTTATGGATCACCTGTCACTTGCTTGATCCCTGTTTCAAAATCAAAACGTTCTGGACTTGACTTTCTGTTCCTTTTAGATTCCCACGGTTCCCGTCTAGACCTTCAAATCCTGACCTCATTAGTTTTCTTCTCTTGACTCTTTCCCTTTGGTCTTCGCTCTTTCCTTTCTGTTTCTTCTACACTTCACCTTCAGCTCTATACCCGTGAACTACAATCCGCGCATATGATTGCGTTACAAAATCGGCCTATATTGCCTCCTGCCAAAGTGGATATCTCACTACTACTCAAGCCCCAGGATGAGGAAGAAACCTCCTTCCCCCCCAGGACGATCGGGCCGCCACTGGGTATGGGAATGATGATGCCAGGCCCCGCGGCCATGACCGCCATGACCATGCCACCACTCTCCAAGGCCGGCTCCACGGGAGCCCCCAAGCGGCTGCAGCCATCTCACACCGCCGAATCACCCGCCAAGAAGCAGTCCAAGTGGTCACCCGATGAAGACGCCTTGATCATCGAGTTGCGTGGAAGTGGGATGAAGTGGGAGGATATCAGCAAACGACTTCCCGGACGGAGTGCCATCAGTTGCCGTCTGCATTATCAAAACTACCTGGAACGCCGCAGTGAATGGGACGAGGATAAGAAGAACAAACTCGCCCGCTTATACGAAAGGTGGGGAATAGGTTTCCCCTCGACAAAAAAAAAAGTAAGCCCGCTAACCACCAACTGGATAGATTCAAAGCCGAAATGTGGTCCAAAGTGGCCGAAGAAATGGCCATCCCCTGGCGGGCTGCAGAGGCCATGCACTGGCAACTGGGAGAACAGGAAATGGCCCGCCGTGCGGGTGTTGTCCCCTTCTCTCTGTCCAGTGCTGCGATCGATCCCCCCACCACCAGAACCCGTCGCGCCAGTACCTCTCTCGCCCGGCCGCGAAAGGGTTCGCATTCTCGCGCAATCCCGGGCATCCCCGGTCATCCACCACAGTTACCCTCTCTGGAAGAGTTGACAGCAGGTGTCCCCGCATACGCCCCTCCACCCCCGAGAGATTTCTATGGCAGAGAGATGGGTCTGCCCCCAAGTCTCATGGGCCCTCATCTCGGTTTGCCTCCTCGGACGATGCCTTGAAACGAGACAACGATGACGCATGAACGTCTTTTTTTTGTTTGAGTCTTGACCTTGTGTTTCTTCTCTTTTTTTCCCTTTTTTCTTCATTTCCTTTTTTTCTTGCTCACTTCCTTTCCCCGTGGGCTTGTTCTTTGTTATTTTTTTCTTTTGTGGTTACGAATTGCATAGCGTCGGTTGGAGGTATATCGTGATTTGTGGGGACAAAGAATCGTATAGATGATTCCTGCCCCTCGGTGTTTGAGTTCTTCTGCTTTGCAGAATCTTTGGCAGGACCAATGCAAATGGATATTTCTCCATGACTCCGAGGCAGGCTCTCGGAGCAACATGCGTTTCATGCCTGACCCGTCTTGGGTGTCGCGATCGCCCACCAGTTGTCTTTCTCGTACCCGGACTCCAGCACTCGGCCTCCCGCATTGTCAATATCCCGTTCCAGCTCCCCTTCTTCATACAAGTGGTAGTAGCGATGGAACGTCTGTGGTTGATCTCCCTTCCGGACCCACGGGACCATCCGATCCTGTGCATCGCCCGTGTCCCAGCCCCGACGGCTGTTCTTTTGCTCTAGTGCCCAGGCGTAAACCAGGACCTTTCCGCCTTCCTGCGTCGGTGAAGCGGGCTTCACCGTGCGCAGAATCTCGGCTACGGCTTGTGTTCGCCGGGCTGGTGTGGATAGATGGTGGACCACAGCGATGGAGATGGCAAAATCAAATCTTGCATCCTGGTGTGGGAGTTCCAGGATATCGGCCACTACGGTCGAATGTGGCTGATGCTGCAGCGCAATGCGAGCCAGGTTTTCAGATCTGGGATTTTGTCAACTCTTGAGTCAATTTGGGAAAAGACAGTGTGTGTGTATTATGAGGGGCATCTCCGAGATAGTAGACCCCATAGAAAATACCCCCCAAAAACCCCACATCATTCTTATGACATACCTATCTGAAGCCACGATAAAGACGTCTCGATTGACCATTAAATTCTTGCCATTTCCACACCCTACATCTAGTCCCACCGATCCTGGTGATAGACTGGTGAGAAATCGCTCGACTATGGGCCATGGCTACCGAGGGGTTAGCTGTGGAGTGGGACTTCAGCTCTCGAGACACACCTTGTAGCGGGTGGCAGAGAAATGCTGGGCAATCTGCTGATAGACTTCGTGCACATTCTCTTGCTCATAGGCTTCTCCAGACTGTGGAGAGGCCATGATGGATGGTTGAGAGAAGTGGTGAAAAGTGGTGAAAAGCAGAAGTTGATATCACGTGGCGCGGGACATCCACTGCATCTATAGATCTACCACTTAAGCAATGTTACTTGAGTATACACTACAAACTTTAGAAGGGTATTCGACTCTAGTAAATAAAGTATACAAACAGCTACTTCAGTAATATAGCTTATAATATATTATACTCAAGTCATTAAATACTTAATTCCTTACTATACTTCTAGTTCTACTACATAGAATCTGCAAATACCCGTATGAATTGTAATAACGGTAATAATAAAAGTAATCAAAACAGTAATAACTGTACATTTCCAAACCCCTTAAGACCAAACAGCAGACGCGAACTGGCTGTCGTGCGACGAGGCAATTTGATTCTCAACAACGCCTGTTCCTGGCGCTGACTAATCGGGTGAATATTGGGCCAGCGAAAACAACCTCAAGTCAAGTATCACCGGTAAGTCCTGTGTCTCTATGCTTCTAAGCAGAAGCATACACTGGTATCTATGATGGACCCTGACCCGACATAGGAAACAATGGCGTTCCAGCCCACCCCAATGGATGTGTCCGTCATCATCACCAATGCAGCCTTGGGCAAGTCCGGGAGCTCGGAGCCCCGGTTCTTGACAGAGCGCCGTATCACCCCAACCTGGACTGTCCTGCAGGTCAAGGGGAAGCTGGAGACCATGACTGGAATCCCACCTGGGAGCCAGCGCCTCCGGGTGAAGGTTCCTGGTCATCCTGATCAATGGGCTGATAGAGATGACTGCCTCATTGGCGATTATGGATTGGTCAAGGGGACTGAAATTGAGGTTGGTGCTGTTCTGTCTCCTGTGATCTTTTGTCTACTCGTAGCTCCCGTCTCAATCCGATAAAGAATGCGGAGTCAAGTCGAGAGACGGGATGCGAGTGGGACTCTCGAGATTCTCCAGAGATTGTATTGAAGGTATACTCATTGACATGACCAGGTTAATGATAGTCGTCCCCCTACCATGCGGGCCAATTTCACCGACTTGTCCAATGTCGAGAAATACGTGCTGCCCACTGATGCGTACGAGGCTCGTTCAGACTCCGTGCTGGCTTGGAAGAAGAATCAGAAGCTAGGACGATTCGATCCCAATGCTCTATCACCTGAAGAATCATTGCGCCACCAGGTGGAGAAGGACCAGACTGAAATTCAAAAGCGAGGTTTGTGTGCACTATAACATCCCCAGCATCAACTGTGATCTAACGGGCCAGAAATCGCTGTCTCTCGACGGGCAATTGTCTTGCCCTCATCCCCACCGCACATTCGTCGCGGAACTATTCGTTTCGTGGGACCTGTACCTCAGATTCCCGTCACGGGCCCGGGTCGGGAGTTGCAGCAAAGTGCTGATCTTCCCGTTGACCTGCAACCTATTTGGGTGGGCATTGAGCTGGATGAGCCAATGGGTAAGAATGATGGCAGTGTGGGTGGCCAGCGCTACTTCGAGTGTTTCAACAACAAGGGTGTCTTTGTGAAGCCTGAGAAGGTGGAGGTTGGAGAATTCCCCCCATTAGGATTAGATGATGAGCTGGATGAATTGATGGAAGAGATCTGATTATTATAACAAACTAGATATGCATAGACAAACTGGATCCTTATTCGACACATTCAGCTACTCATTGAGCTCTCCCATCAATTATTTCCAGAAAAAACACTGCCCATCGTAAGATAGAAATAGGGAAACTCCAACATCCCAGGTAATCGTGTGAAAAAAAAAGCGCTGAAGAACAGGTAATAATGGAGAGCAAGAACGTTCAAACGCCTGGGTAAGAGATGTCGAGGGTATCCACATAAAGAGAAGAGTATCATGGCGCGTAGTCAGGGAGATTTACTATTTCCCTTTCTTCTGCTTGCCCTTGGGCCGACCCTTGGACTTCTTCACGGGAGCAGGAGCAGGATCAGGCGCAGGAGCTTCAGCTTCAGCCTCACTCTCGGCGCTACCCTCTCGAGACACTGCAGAAGTGTCATTGTCATTGTCGAGTTCACCTTGGGTGTCGTTCTGTTCCCCACTCTCATCGGGAACACATCCTTGGGTAAAGAACAATCGAGCTTCTTTGCCATGGGGATTTGCAAAGCTATAGTAGTTACCTGAAAGCATTGTGAGTTGAATGTAAACCAGAAGGAAAAGACAGGGGAATCTTACCACGGGGGATTTGGAATACACAGCCCTTGCCAGCACTAAATTGAACGCCGGAAATGTCGACTTGCACACGTCCGTGACAGACATAGAACACCATGTGCATTTTCTTCGAGTTCTTGGGCTTCTTCACTCCATCAGGAGGAAGCTCAACCACTCCAGACCCAATGAAGGAAGAACTCAGAAGTTTGGCGAACCTGAACGTGGAACCCTTGACCTCTCGAGTTTCGATGCCAGAGGGGGCATAAGCAATATCTAGAACATGATGAGTACAAGAACAGGAGAATATGAGCAGGGAATAATACCTAGCACTTCTTCTTCCTTGGAGCCGGTCTGTGTCTTACTATCCCACTTGAGGGTATAGCCATGAAGCACACCACCCTCCTTCTCCCACACATCCACCTCATCTTCTTCATCCGACGATTCGTCCTTGCGCTTCTTAGACTTGGATTTCTGGGATGCTGGTCGCTTGCCCTTCTTCTTCTTTTCCGGCTCCTGCTCCTCGGTACGGATGACCTCCTTGAGAGTGGAGAGTGGGTACCGATGTCCCTCGGCAGCCTCCCCATCCCCGAATACGCATCGCTCATTGCGCCAGTACGCCAGCGGTCGGACAGAAGTACGGCCAGATCGAGTGTGAGTCGCATTGGTGTCAGTGGGAGTCTCTCTCTTGAGAATATAAAGACTGCGACCTTTCAATGGACCTGTGCGCTTGGCGTAGTCTGTGACCACTTTGTCCAATTCTGGCTCGAGAGGTTCCCGTTCAGCTGGTTCCCGTTCAGGTGCTTTCGCAGCGCTCTTTTGCTTTTTAGTTGGGCGCGGGTTGGAGTCTTCCTCTGGTTCTTCGCGCGGCGCAGACTTGGCAGGGCGTCCCCGTCGCCCTGCAGGCTTCACCGGAGCTTGGTCTGTTTCAACACTTTTGGCGGGTTTGGCGGGTCTGCCCTTCTTAGTTGACTTGGAGCTCGCCGCTGGTTTGACTTTTGGCGCAGGTTCAACTGGAGGACTGTCTTCAGGTTCATTTTCATCAGCCGACGGAGGGTCGGAAAGCTCTGCAGTTGGCAGTAGGTCGTCTTCGGTTACCAGACCATCACCAAAGTCTCTTTGCACCTGCGCAAATGCATTCTCGTCGCCATCGTCTTCGCCATCGGAAAATTCGGGTAGAGATGTCGGTTCGGGATCTTCTATTAGTTGCGCTTTTGTCGCGTTTTGCCGTGTGCCATTCTGTTGATTCGAACGCCCCACGTTTACGGAGCGGGCAGATAGGGGAGAATGATCCAGACGGGACTCGTTGTGTGCGCTGAGCCCATTTCTTTCAGATGGACTAGATGATTCCGGGGGTGGGGTGGCTGAAGACGATCGTAGCGCAGGGGTTCTTCGTGGAGATCCAGTAAGTCCAGTCTTCATGGGCGATCGTGCAGCGGGCGGCGGGAGGTGAGAAGAACGACGTGAGCTGCCTTTAAGAAAGTCCATAGGACCTGGCGCATTGCCTTGGGAGCATCGCGTGAGTATACATCTGGCCGAAGAAACCTCGGGAGAATAGATGGCGCACCTTCGTCTAGGGACATGCCGTCAGAGCCAGTCGAAGAGCCATTATCTTCGTCAAAGGCGCGCAATTCGGCAGGCGACTTTTCGGGCGAGGAAAAGAGGCCATCGACTTCCTCCATGCCATGTTCATCGCGGCGGCCTTCCTTCAAAGAGATTCCAGTGCGCCTGAAAAATATCCATTAGCACTAGCTATAACCTGACCATGTTGAGACTCACCTTCCTGTAGTTCCCACATTGGAGTAGTCATAGTCGCGGGCCTTTCCAGGAGGCCCTCGTGCCATAATGAAAAAGAATTAAAAAAAAAAGACAAGATCAAGTACACTAAAAGTACAGGGAGGAGAGGATGTAAGGTGGGAATGCAAGATGTGGGTAGAAAGACGCGCCCCCGCTAATCCCGAACGGTCGACGCGTTGCATGCCTTTTTTTTCTTTGCGCTTCATTCTTCTGTTCTCTTTTTGTCACAGCCACAATGACAGTCACAGAAGAGCCTACCTTTGTTCCTCCCAGTGTAATCTCTGATTACCTTTTCTCTGGTCAATCTTACGCCTACTACACACCATGCCCGAACGCGATTACACCCAAAGATACAGCCGGAAAGACGGTAGAAAGTACACCCTGTGTACTGGGAGTAGATGAAGCTGGCCGTGGTCCTGTTCTAGGACCCATGGTATACGGTGTCTTCTACCTTCCCCTGGAGCTCCATCACTCGCTCTTGACTGAAGAGCACAGTTTTGACGACAGTAAGGTCCTGACACCTGCTGTGCGTGCCAATCTGATGCACCTGCTAAATACACCTGAAAACAACCTGTACGAGTCCTGCGGTTATGCAATTAAATCACTCTCGGCGCGCGACATCTCTTCCGGCATGATGAGAGCCCCCACTGCCGTCTATAACCTGAACGCCCAAGCGATGGATGCAACGATAGAACTCATTCGAGGCGTGGTGGAAGAGCGTGGGGTGGATGTGCGAGAGGTGTACATCGACACAATTGGCAATCCGATCACATATCAACAGAAGTTGGAGAAAATCTTCCCGTCACTCAAGATCACAGTGGCCAAAAAGGCGGATTCGCTATACCCGTGTGTGAGTGCTGCCAGTGTGGCGGCCAAGGTGACGCGTGATGTGACGCTGGAACTCATGTACGAGGCCATTGTTCAGGCTGAGCAGTCTGATCCCACCCTCGAGACTTGGGGGAGCGGCTATCCCTCGGATTCCAAATGTGTCGGCTGGCTTCGACGCAACATGGATCCGGTCTTTGGATGGGGAAGCGAGTGCCGGTTTAGCTGGGGCACCGCAAGGGAAATGCTCGAAGTGAAAGGAGGGGCCCGGGTGGACTGGCCTGTCGATGAAGAAGATGGGGCTTCCACGATGAACGATTTCCTACTCTCATCAGCCGGCAAAGGCTCCAAGGGAGATGGGCTACGAGACTGGTATGGACAACGGTCCTCGAAGATCCTCTGAGTGCGGATTATGCTTGTAATGGTACTAAACGTTGAACTTGATAATACATTAATGATACCCTTTCAACCTGCTTCGAAAGAGCATAGCAAGAGTAAGAACAAAAGAAAGAGAGAACGTCGGTTCCCATTAGTGAAAAGTCATCAAAAAAAAAAAAAAAAACAAAAGTCATGCAGAAAAATTGAGGATCATTGTCGCAAAAAATCCTGTGCCCACCAATACCAACAAGATGCTCACTGACTTGCTTTAGCGTGAAAAACAATCAGAGATGGTCATCGAGATGCAAAAAAAAAAAAAAAAAAAACTTAAGAGAAAAGAAAAAAAAAAAAAAAAAAAAAACAAAAGTCATGCAGAAAAATTGGGTATCATGGTCGAAGAGAATCCGGGGCACACATGGGCGACTCAAAGTGTCGCCGTCGAGAAATAGAAGTTATCCCAGAGGTACTCATAGTCATCAACGATGCTGCCCACCATATCCAACACTGGCTTGCCCTTCATCTTTCCAGTGATGCTGTGGATCCAGGACCTAGGTCACAATTGTTAGTCGTGGCTCAAAAATCGCCGAATTGACCCGGGTATCTTACTTGGTGATGTTTTCGTAGAAGGCACCGCGCATCATCCACCATCCCATCGACCATCCACGCTTCTTCAATTCATCCCTCTCGAGGCCCGTGAGTCCCCGGAGACCTCCGGCGACTCTTTCACGGAAGTCACGCTTGGCAAGCTGGCGACACCCGTATTCCATTCCGAATCCAATGAGCCATGGCCGCCAGCTTCGCTTGTCTTTTCTCCATCGCTGCATCGCCATTGCGTAGACGACAGGTCGGAGAATGAAGAGCACTTCGGCCATCTGCCCTTGCCCGGTGGCCCGGTGAAGAAGCGCCTTTGGAGGCTTGATATCATCCGCGGTAAGCACCTTGGAGATAAGATAGTTTGACACGTCGTTCACTTCGGGAAGAGACGGCAGAGAGAGCCCGGTCCGAGGCATCGTCCAACTCATATCGGATGATGAATCGGTCACGGGAGTGTCCATTCCATTCCAATCACTTTGTGGATCTTCCTCTGCTGTTCTCGGGTCGACCTCGCGCTCTGGGAGAGGCGGGCTGACCAAGGGTCGGGAATTGGTCAATCGGAGAAGAAGCAAGCGGCATATCGCCTTTGCAAATTCAATGAAGACAACCACACGCCAACGAGTCTTCTGGCCTCGTCGTCGTGCAGCCATCTCCCACAGAAGCTCGGTATACTGGAGCATCTGAAGCGCAAGTGCCACCTTGCGATACAGCGAGGACCGGGAAGTCCAGTACTTGGTATACCGAGAGTGAGGGGTGGGCGGCGGCCGGGGAACGGTTGATGGAAGCCCATCAACCACTTTCGAGACTAACGAGTCATGGTATAGCGATAACAACTGGACACCGGAGTGTACTGAAGGTGTCAGCCGACGCGCTGATTCGGATATGCCATGTCACTTACCACATTCTGATGGTATTTCGGATTCACGGTAGCGCCCTGAAAGAAAGAAGATTAGTCCAACTCTCTTGATTTCTTGGGGAGCTCTCACCTGGGATGATGTATGTCAGGGACCTCAGTGCCGACTCAACTTGACCCACCGAGCTTGCATTCTTGGTGACAAAGTCCTCATAAATGGAAAGCCATTTGGAAGGCTTCAGAAGCGCCGGGGGTATTGGACTCTGAAGATTTCGGACGGTCTCCATGTTTGCGCACAAGAGCGATGGAGATGATGAAGTCGACGGAGGAGGTTCGCAGGGGGGCACGTGGGTCCTGCCAAGATATCTGGGCCGAGGTTGGTTTTATACTTCACTTCTCTCACTACCCTACTACTACTACTACTCATATGAAGCACTCTGTACTCTCATGGCATTGCTGAGCAAGGCAGTCTGCATGATGATTTTTACATAGATACTCCATATTGGTCTAATATATGCAGCTGGCGATCTATTTTCAGTCCCACACTATTCATCCGCAAACATCCATAACCCTCCGGGGCGCATGGCCTCGCGGTACCGCTCCTCGATTTTTTCTCGCTCCAGTACTTTGGCAGCTTCTCGGTCAAGCTCCTCCTCTTGTGTACTGGGCATGTCGGTTCGCCAGAAACCAGGGGGCGATTGCGCACGCTGGTGGGTATGTCTGTGTCGTCCATATTGATTGGCCAGTGCTCGGGCTCTGGCTTCAACCAAAAGATCCTCACGTTCCTTATCGCTCAATGTGACCAGTAATTGCGTGTTTTCTCCCACAAATTCGCGCAGCAGCTCATCGTCTTCTTGTTTTTGTTCCACCCCGGACTTCCCCGGGAGGCCTCCAAGGCGGGCCATAGCGCGGAACCGATCCCCACAGCACCCTGGGCGAGTACACCCGGAAATGCATTTACGATCATCTCTCTTCCGAACAACTGAGTTGTAGGCAAAGTCGAGGCCTTCGTTTCTATCGGGATTGATTTTAAAATGTTTCAACCCAAGAACGCTAAGGGGCATTGCCCTGTATGGCTCGTCATCAGGGTCCACATCTGGGACTGTTTCGCCAGATGTCGTGGATGTTAAGTGATCATGCTGGGGTATGGCATCTGCCTGTTTTGAATTTGAGCCCGGCCCGGACTTTGCGGATCGAAGTAGTGATTTGGTGGGCGTCGATCGCTCAAGCAAATCGTCAAGGCGTCTTTGGACGATCGTGCTGGGGGTTTTCGCTTCTGGCGGTCCACGATTGGTACCGGGGCCAGTGTGCAAAGGATCCCGAACAGATGCTAGGTTTTCGCCATCTTCTGCCATAGCGGGTATTGCACGTCGCTCTAAATCCTCTAGGCGTTTGGCGGAAGGCCTTCGATGGGCGATTTTGGGAGTATATGCATTGCCGTCAATCGCCTGAAGAACAGATGACTGCTCGTTTACTTTTTGACCCGGTGGGGTTTGGAGCGAATGGTCTGCATGATTCCCTCCCTCCAAACTCTCGCTATTTGTTTCATGGACATCACGGTGGGCTTTTCTTTTCGTCGGTGTTGGTACTGTGTCCCCTATATCATCAAGATCCTGTGTACCCACACAGGGTTGGTTGCCTAAATATGATGACGTTCGGATTGGACTTGAGGACATGATCTCCCTCTTAATCTGTACAGGGCGCTTGGTGCTAGGACCATTCCGTTGAGTGTGCAAACCAGACAACCTGGGAAGCGGAGGAGAAGATGCTTCTCTCTCTTGCTTGATTGTGCGGTTGTAGACTGGCCGTGTTGTGTCAGAAGATCCCGGATGCTCCATCTGGGACCCTGGGGAGCTGGATTGAGTGGACGCCAGTTCTGATGCCAGAGAATCATCTGCCGGGTAATTATCTTTGGCATTGACTGCCGCCTCCACATCACCCCGAGGGGTCTGTTTTGGCGAAGGCTTCAAGAGCTTGGCTGGCAAATCCGGGTCTTCTTCCCTGGACCGTTTCCCTAGAGAGCGTCGGTTCGTTTGGGAATCCATCTTGTCAAGCCCATAGGGGCCAGATCCTTGCACTTTACGGTATCTGACCTTTCGGCCGCCCAGAAGCAGTGTGAACTCATCACCTTTCAGTTGCTGGTCCCACTGCTGCAGTTTTTCTCTATGTCGTCGGACCTGGCGTTTCAGATCACCCCAGGATTGGAGGAAAGTTTGTAAATTTGTGTAGAGCGCCGTGTATTTTCTTTCAAATCTTTCACGTGCCTTGCGGGAATCGAAATGTTTGCCTTCTAGAGAATCGCCCCAAAGATTCTTTGGGTCAAATTCCGCTTCGAGGCTGGCGTATTGCCTAGGAAGTTCAAGGTTTTGTGAATCGACTTCATATTGCTTCAGCTCACTCTGCAATAATGTGATATCATGCCGAAGATCCTCGATTGTGGAATCAGCTTTGCGCTGAGCCTCAACAGCTCCCTCATGCTTGGTTGCTGCCTCTTTGGTCTGTGTCTCAAGCTGTGTTCTCAGCTGCCGGTAGGCATTGTCGAACGAGGCCTCACAGGCTTTGGCCACGGCATGGTGAAGTTCTTGGACGACTTCCATGGTAAGTTCTCCTGAAGTCCCTCACATTGGTCGAAGTCAAGTGCGTACAGAGACAAAACACGAAAGACGCGCAGACGCGCAGACGCGTTGGGTTTATCGATAAGCCCCACGGAGCCACTCCGCGGTTTTGGTTAAGGCGATTGACTCGGAGAAACCTCAAAAGAAAAGATTTCTGAACTATTCAATGTTGGACAGATGAAAGAAAAATGTCAGGAATCAAGACAGAATTCAGTGATTGCGTGGGCACTATTTGACGAAAATGTGGAAAAGAAACATAAGAGAGAAAGGGAAAGAAAGAAAAAAAAAAACGCAGCGACAGCGGAAATAAACAAAACAATGAACGATATATTCTAGGGAGTACGGAGTACTACATAAGTAGGTACTTAAGTAATTGCGATGAAGAGAGCCCTGGAGAGAGAGATCCTGTCATGTGACGGATGTCGAGCTCTGATAACTTGCATATCATCTTTCGTCCCTCGTCTTGTCTTTATATCTTGTCGGAATGCCCAAACGACGCAGAGATGATGAACCCAATCTACCCCCAAAGCGTATTCGCAATGATGGGAAATCAACCGATCGGCTATCCAGTCTGAGCAATGAGTTGCTGCTCCATATCCTGTCGTTTCTGCCGGTCTCCTCGTTGAACGTTTGTCAAAGGTAGACCACCCTCTATCCTCCAGTAACATTGGCGCTGACTCAATTAGACTGTCTCGTCGCTTTCAAACTCTGGGGGGTGACTCAGAGTTATGGAAAAGGCAATACTACTCTCAATGGGTGCAGCCCCGTGCTCGCCGCCTGGCCAATTCTCGACGTACCACGCTGCCAACTAAAGTGGATTACTCTCCTCGGGTCGCGACCTGGTTTGACCATGGACACTTGGCACATGAGGGTAATTGGAAAAGGCAGTACCGGCTACGGCACAATTGGTCCAGAGGACTATGCCGAGTGACAGAGGTCGAATTCCCCGAGCCACCATGCCCTCCCACTCTGGTCAGGTTCTGTGCCGGCATCGTCTTTACTGTTGAATCGGCCCGTGGACTGAGGGCATGGACTGCCACAGACCCTGCTCGTTGTTTAGCCAGTATCTCTCTGTCAAGCCCGGATTCGCCAGTGACCCCAACCGCCTTGGCAGTAAGCCATGCTCATGGGAAGGTTGAGATCTCAGCGGGAATGGGCAACGGCCATATAAGCCTGTTCCTACTAGATCTACAAACGTCTAAACTGGAGCTGCAGTCCTCTTATTCTGCCGGCAATGGGACCATCACCGCAATGGCTCTGTCAACGTCATACCTCCTGGTGGTATCCCAGTATAAAAATCTGATATTGTACAAGCTACATTATGACAGCCACCAAGCAGGGGGATCTTCTGGAGCCGCTGTGCCTCGCCAACTTGCCTCTCTCAAAGCAGACAACATAGTGGCCCCCATGACGTTGTCTCTCCGAGTGTCACAGTCGGAAATCATCGCCACCATTGTGTACAGTTTCTTCCACATTGGCTGCGGGTGGTCTCTTGGGATCCAGGAGCTTCGATTAGGCAAGGACGGTCAACAGCTTGGTTCGCGATTGGCCACCACGGTGGATTCTCAATATGGTGTCCGGCCGTCACAAGCCTTGCAATCTGGCAAGCGACACTCTGCAGCTGAGCCAGAACATATTCAATCCACCCCCAGTGCACCATTCATTCTCCACCAGCAGCCGCCAACCTCCATGTCCTATTCGCACCCATACTTGCTGACCTCTCATGCTGACAACACCTTGACCATGTATCTGGTGGTCTCTACCGCGGATAATCTATTTGTGCAAGGGGGTCGCCGGCTTTGGGGCCACACCTCGTCTGTCTCCGCAGTCCAGGTTACCAAACGAGGCAAGGCGGTTTCAGTCAGCTCTCGAGGAGATGAGATCCGGATCTGGGAGCTGGAGACGGCCATATCCTCCCTCGGCACCCGCAAAGCCCCCAAGGAGGAGCATGGGATCCCACTTAGCACGGGGAGTAGACACGAGCCAGAGCCGGCACTTCCCAGGACGCTCTCCGAAAGCCTGAATAGCACAGACCGAGAGACCAGCCCCTTGTCTAAAATGCAAGACTGTGTTGGTTTTGACGAGGAAAGAGTACTCCTCCTCCGCGAAAGAGGGGTGGGCACACAACTCCTTGAATGCTACGACTTTACATGATCACCAAAACTTCCAGATCTCCAGACATCATTCGAAGCCGATCTGATAATTTGGTGTTCGCATCAGCAGTGACGTCGTACTGCCACCTCGGCCAATAACAGACCCGGCTGTAGCACAAGGTACTCAACCCACCCGGACTGGGGACCCTGGACACAACACAGGTATAAGTACTGTCACTGCCCGGGGATCTTCACCCCCCTCTTCTTCCGAGTTGCCTCTATGGCCCATTTGAAGCCAAGCCATGCGCGAAAGCCATGGGCCCTTGATGGAAAACGGGCTACACAGAATCCGGAAGAGGATTGATTTCTCGAGCCACGCAAACCTCTCTTGAATCTACCGAGAACAAAAACTCTGAAATCCGCTGCGAATGGGTGCAAGAGTTGGGGGAAACCAAATGCAAGAAACGAGAGAAAGCAAATGTTGAAGGCGGTCAAGCGAGTCGTATCGCGGGAAGATTTCTCTTCCCCCCCCGCACTACAATATTTTTCAGAGTCTCACTCGGCCTTTTTTTTCTCTCTTTCCAACTTGACTCTACTGTCTTCTTTTTCTCTTTCAAACCCTTTAAACTTATATTCCAATCTCACAAAATGGATTTCCCTGCTGGACGTGGTGGTGGTTGCTTCAACTGTGAGTTTCTTTTTTCTTTTTTTTGTCTTCTCTTTGCCAGTCTGGCATTGGTGACAATACGTCATGCTCTGCTTTCAAGCTTGCGGACTTCCAAGTGAAGCTTCAGGCCTGAATGGCTGGATTTGGGTGTGAACATGGGAATATGTGCTAACTTTGTTCTACAGGCGGCGAGGCTGCTCACCAGGTATATACACTTCGATCTCCGAATCTTCATTGGATTCAATTCACACGGACACGACACTAATCGACTATTTAGGCCAAGGACTGCCCCAAGAAGGGAAACCCCACTTGGTAATTGTTCCCCTCCAACCGTCCGTGTATACATGCTAACATATGCAAATAGCTACAACTGCGGCGGTATGGTTATCTCCCACATTACTATAAGCTAATGGGATCAATTGCTAATGGAATTGCGGTTGACAGGCCAGGGTCACTTGAGTAAGTTGATCGGGAGCCTCATGAAAGATATATAACTAACGTGGATCAACAGGCCGTGAATGCCAGGAGCCCGCCAAGGAGAAGTCTTGCTACCGCTGCGGACAGACCGGTCACCTTTCCCGCGAGTGCCCCCAGGGTGGCGAGGGCAACTACGGCGGTGGTAGCCAAGAATGCTACAAGTGCGGACAGGTCGGCCACATCGCACGTCACTGCTCCCAGGGTGGTAACTACGGTGCCGGCAACGGCTCCGGATACGGTGGTGGTTTCGGTGGTGGTTTCGGCGGCCCCGGTGGTCGCCAGCAGACCTGCTACTCTTGCGGTGGTTTCGGCCACATGGCTCGTGACTGCACCCAGGGACAGAAGTGCTACAACTGTCAGTTTGACATATCACCCTCTCTCTCCAACTCATACTAACTTTTTGTTTCAGGCGGCGAGGTCGGCCACGTCTCCCGTGACTGCCCTACCGAGGCCAAGGGTGAGCGTATGTGCTACAAGTGCAAGCAGCCCGGTCACGTCCAGTCTGCCTGCCCCAACTAAGGTGTCTATCGCTTGCATCGCTCTCTTGGTTCGACATCTTTTCTACAGCTTCCCATGGGATCGGACGACATTTCTTCATGCATGCACGAAACGAATTTCCCTTTTTATTTGAAAATGTATGATTAGAGATCAACACCTGACAAGGTGAACATGATCTACCTGACGCCGAGTTTGGTTTCCCGGGCCTTTTTTCTTCTTTCTCGTTACGCGCATTAAAATGGGGAAGCAGGGGAACCCTGCAAATACTTGTATTTGCTATCTGGATATCCTCATCGATCCTGTATATCTCGTAGACCGAGTCTGCGCGAATTGGTTCCTCCGGAATGGGTGAAGATGTAGAACCGGGCTGGGAATCGAAAAAGAGCGTCGGATCTCTGTATACACCATGACATTGGCAGCCTTGATGATCGTCAATTACCTACGAGCTGCAACTGCACATCATCGCTCTCTTGTACTTGGGAACATCTCCACAGAAGCGTTGTTCCTCTTCCTCATTGAGACCCCATTGGTCTTTGAACGGATCCAGAGACATCGCCATGATCCGGTCAAGGATCTCTCGGTCTCCCTTTTTCTCGACGCGCTCAATAACTTCATCGAGAATCCAGCCTCGAGGGACGAACTGGTCACAATCAGTTAGTATTGGATCTTGAGCACTGAGAATGGAAAGTTCCTCACGTTTGGATTGACTGATTTCATGGCAATCTGCCTTTCATCATCCATTCCTGGACCCCAGTCTTCGAGAACGCGAGCCCGCCAGCTGTCGAGCCATTTCGCAATGCGATCCCGAGCTGTATCATCGGTGTATCCAATCCCTCCGAAGCCTTCACCATGGAAGAAAACCGAGGCCACCTCTTTCCGGCTTTCCTCGGTCTCCAACCTGGACAAAGGGATTCCGGAAAGACGGCGGAAGAAATGATTGAAATCCAGCTCCAGTGCTTCGAGTGTGTCCAGAATTTCCGAGAAAAGGACTTGGAAGTCCGATTCGACCTGTGTCTTGAGTCCAAGCCTTTGGGACATCAATCGCTTATATTCATTCAAGAATACGGCTCGGAACTCCTCGCCAGTGCGCTCAATGATGGTCTCTGCGCGTTTGATGAGTTCAGGCTCGAATTCCTCGGATACTCCATCCTTCACGAAGCTTTCGTCGTCTACTCGGCTTCCGGCTCCAATTAGCTCACCAAATGACTCGCCCAGTCGAACCAGATTCCACCAAATGATGCTGGGCTGGTTTCGGTAGCTGTACCGCAGCATGTGATCATCGTGATTAGGGGTGTATGTAGGATCGAAGTTGTCCATGAATGCGAATGGACCATAGTCCAGTGACAGACCGTATATAGAGGTGTTATCTGTATTCAGCACACCGTTCATGAAACCATAGGCTTGCCACGCAGCCACCGTCTTCGCATTGCGACGAGCGATCTCCCGATAAAGCCTGGCAAATCGATTTTCCTGTACATCTTGGTGCTCCTGGGTGTCGTTTCCGGAGATGCTCCTTGCAGGGTTGTCAACCTCAACGGCCGATAATTGTTCACGTAGTGATACAATGGCGGGCAGAGTTTCCCACCCACCAAAGACATCTTCTGCAACGTATGTTGCAAGTTGCCGTATTAGCTCGCGTTCGCCACGAACGCGGAGAAGATCAAAAGTGCCGATTCTCAACCAAGACTCGGCAAACCGGGCAACAATTGCACCTGGCTCCAGACGCTCTCGCAAGACCTTTGCATTGGGGACCGAGGTCAGTGAGAGTGCCCGAGTGGTAGAAATACCAAGAGCAGAGAGGGCTATAAGGGTTCAAGTCTCAGCGAATGTCATCTCGGAAGTGGGTTGCACCTCTACCTTCTGAGACCACGAATTCTCGGATACTCGATCGAAGCACCGCCTTGCCGTCTGCAAAACGCGAATAGGGCGTTCTGCCTGCGCCCTTCAATTGTAGTTCATAGCGCTTATTTGTCTGTGGGTTTGTGCATTCAAATAGACTGATTGCGCGCTGGTTCTGGTATCAACCTCCAAACGAGGTCCTTCACGGTTGAAGGGGTCAACTTACTCCATCTCCCAATTGTCCTGCCCACGAACCACTGCATTTTGTCAGCCTAGAGCGCCCGAAAAGGGCTTTTTGGGCTCATACAATTGCCATCCTATGCCAGTTAGCCCCTCTCCCGGATATCAAAATGGAACAAATGCGAACCTCCGTAACACTGCGCCCATGGATAGATTCCACGTTCCTCGGACCACCAGATCTCATTTCCGGCGACCAAAGCCTGAAACTGCGAGGTTTTCTCCTCTCCGGGCTTTAATCCCAAGTCTTTCATGGCTTTGGAGCTGACGCTCAACAGCTCGGATCCTTCGGCTGGCTCCGGGCGAACATAGGTAAACAGAGCTCCTTTGACCATGCGCGGACCTAGGGTCTCCCGGGGCGCATTGTGTGAGGACTCTGGAGTTTCAAAGGCCGGATCTGCCGGTAATTTAGAGGTGAATACATTAGACTTGGGCAACGCGGTGAGGGAGACCCCGGCGTCGCTGGAGAAGTGAGAAGCCATTTGACTCAGCCGAGTTCGCGGCAAAAGCGTCAACCGGGATGGATTTGCCAGGAGTCGAAAGCTCATAGAGAAGGGTACTCTGTTGAAGTTCAAACAGAAAAGAAATGAGAAAAAAAAAGGAGTCAACTGGGCAGTTGAAGTCGAAAAGGTGCCGAAATGACATAACCCATTATTAATCGCGGGTTTATAATTCTCGTCTCTTCCCCTCTCTCTGTCGATCTTCGACGTGATATATCATTGATATTCTCTTGATTCTCGATTTTCTAATGGCAGGCACTATCTCATCTATTCCAACCGTGGACCTCAATGACGGTACTTCGGTCCCTGTCGTAAGTACCAGGCCATAGAACCATAGAACCAGGCAATATCTAACCATTCCCAGATTGGCTATGGCACTGGTACGGCATGGTACAAAAGAACAGACAGTGGAATCAATCGCGAGCTAGTAGACTCTCTTACGACAGCGACGAAGCTGGGCTATCATCACCTCGACGGGGCAGAGGTGTACCAAACGGAGGAGGAACTGGGGCTTGCAATCAAGGAGAGCGGTGTCCCCCGAGAGAAGCTCATCGTCACGACCAAAGTGAACACCAACATTGACGATATCCCTCGTGCCATAGAAACCAGTCTCAAGAAGCTTCAGCTGGATTACGTGGATTTGTAAGTGTGAAACAGAAACCGCGGGGGTCAACGACTAATCCCTAACTAGGTATTTGATCCATGCGCCGTTCTTTGCAAAGACCGACGAGGAGCTCCGAGCTGCCTGGGCAGCTATGGAGAAAGTTAAAGAAGCTGGATTCGCCCGATCAATTGGAGTGTCGAATTTCCTGCAAAGTCACTTGGAAGCCATCCTCAAGACGGCCAAGGTGGTTCCATCGGTGAACCAAATTGAGTTCCACCCCTACCTTCAGCATGGGAATCTGATTTCCTACCTGGAGAGTCAAGGCATCAAGGCAGTGAGCTTCGCAGGTCTCACACCAGCGACTCGTGCCAAAGGGGGACCACTGGACCCATTGCTCTCGTCCTTGGCCACCAAATATGGAGTGGACGAGTCTGAGATCTTACTTCGCTGGAACCTCGACCGTGGCTGTATTGCTATCACGACTAGCAGCAAGGAGACCCGCATGAGCAGTTATCTGCGATGCTTGGCCTTCAAGTTGACACCTCAAGAAGTGGAGGAGATCTCCACGATTGGGGAGCAGCATCATTTCCGGGCCTTCTGGACGGACAAGTTTGCAGCCGATGATCGGTCATGAAGATATAGAGGGATATATAGATTAAAGAACATAAAGAATATAGGGAGCATATAAGCAGAAGACAAAGCGAAGACAAAGAGAAAAGAGAAAAGAGAAAAGAGAAGAGACGTCGGGGAAATTGAAAGATTACCTGTAATGGCGTGACGGTAACGATAAGATACCCCGGCAGCTAACCTTCTCCAACTCCATCTTCTTTCATTCTATCCGGGGCAGAGTCGTCTCCAGTCACCCTCTCATTGTGACCTTCCCTTTGTTTATCTCTACTCGGCTGCAATTGCGCGCGACTTTATCCTGTTCCAGGTAATGGGATCCCCGCGTGATAGGATGCCCTGATCGTTTGGCTCCTGAACAAGGCCCTTGACTTGATCAATGTTTTGACTAGGGGACTATATCGACCCAACAAGTACCACACTTCGGTTTTGCTCTCGAATTCGCGTGCGATTTAGCCATCTCTGGTGAACGTCGCGAAACCCCCGCGCACTGCGATGTCGGTGAACGAGAAGCGCCATTCCCAAAATACACCAACCCCTCCAGCTGCGAGCTCCGAGTCGGACCACGAAGCGCTTGACCGACGCCTACAGCGCTTATCCGACGAGGTCCTTTCCCCGGTTCCTTATATTCTCACCCTCCCCTCAAAAGCGCCATTCCACCTGGGGAGCCGAGCTACGGGTAATTGGGCCGTAGGGCATGACAGGCCCTTCAGTGTGGAGGAGCAGCAACTTCAGTATATGACCTTTTTGAACCACCACGACTCCGACTCATTGCTTGTAGCTGTTGGAGACTGGGCGGATGAAACGGGGCGCATGATGGCCGATCGATCGACTGACCCGAACACCACCGAAAGCTCGAGAGATACCGGGGCCAAAAAGAAGATCAGCCTGAAGGACTATAAGGTGCAGAAGACGAGCGGTGCGGCCCCATCCCCTATGGGCTCTGACGTGGGTAGTCGAGGTGCAACAGGCTCGACCAAACCCGAAGTCAAACGACAGACAACTTCCTCAGACCCTCCAAACGTGACCAAGCCTGAAAATCCACAGCTACCATCAAAGTCGCACATGCGCCGTTCTCCCAGTCGATCAGGACAAAAACGTCCACCCGGTTCGGAGCGCGAATCCCTCAACCCGAAAGGGACTAAGGACCCCGATGCACACTCGCCAAAGAAACCACGACTGTCACCTGAAAAAGATACGCGCCGAGATCCCAGTCCTTCCAAATCACGCTCCCCCAAACTCCCTGCTCTTCTTTCACCTACTCTTCCACCAACACCAACTGGCGCCCGACTTCCGCGACTCTTATCACCGACCTTACCACCAGATATTGAAAAGGAATTGGCCAGCCTGGGTGACGGTTCGCCGCCTCGGAGCAGTAGACCAAACGTTGCAGTGAAGGCACTGCCGGCCAAAGATTCCAGCCAGTTGGAAAAGTCAAGAGAGAGCACCCGCGCCGATCATTCGAAGCCACGACTCATCGCCAAATTGCGCTATGGAAGGGCGAATCGGAAGCGCGTCGAAGCGCTTCTGAAGTTTAATGGCAAAAGGAAAAGCCAGCGTCCAAATTCTCCGATCAGCCCGGACACTGATCATGATGAGTCTTCCAAGAAGAGGGGAACCGACGGGCCATCTCGCGTTGGAGGCGCAAAAAGCAAAAAGCACGAGACAGAAGAACCATTGGCTCGGGATGGGCGCGCCAAAGGCCAGAAAGGCTCCGTGGAAAAGCCCCGGACACCAGTTCCTCAACCATCTGCGCTTCATTCGGTTGCCCATGAGAAAACAAAGACAGCTATCACCCCGATCAGAGACTCCAAACCGCCACGTCGAAATGATCCCCCAGAGAGCGAGAGCAAAGCCCCATCCCATCCAGCTAATAAGCGTCATTCTGTTGACCCTGGGTCAACTGCGAGAGCCTCACCAACACAGACAGATAGTCGCACGCGCCACGAACGTCAGGTTTGGACCGATGAATGGCAGAAGTTCACGGGATTAGGACGTGAATTGAAGCACGCTGCGGAACGATATACTCATAAGAACGGGGCCTCGGCTACTGACGAGAAGCTGGCTGCAGTCACTGCGGTTGAAGCCTTGTTGTCCTTCATCATAGCCTTCGTGGCCCATGATCAGTCTCGGATTTTAAAACGCCAGACTGGGGATTCTTCAACCTGGTTATCTATTTTGCCATATTGGCGTGCGGTCAAGAAGAACACTGCCCAATTTCCGGCCTTGAATCACATCTGCTTGCTTCTTGGTGCTGTCTCTTTTGGTGCAATTCATGCTCTTGACCTTGAACGTCTCGCAGTGATGCCAATTCCTGGGGAGAATCCTGCGATACCCACCCCTGCAAGCGACGGTAATGCCGCGCCAGATGAGAAGAAGCTCAGGAAGGATCTCTCAGATCTGAAGGGCCGGCTGCTGGACAGCTACAAAGATTCCCAGAGGTTATGGTTAGAGGGAACTCGAGGCCTTTCCGAAGATGTCCTTGAGCGTGATTTCCCTACGAGTTGGTCTCAACGATCTCGAAAGTTCTCAGAACGAGGTCGACCGTCTCTCAAAGCTGGTGACTATTCCGGTGGCTATTTCTTACCGTTCAGTAGCCTTACTCCACCGATTGAAGTAGTTCGGTTCAGCTGGTCTTTCTTGAAGGAGTGGTGCTCACAGGAACGCGTTGAGTGGAATGGCCGTCTGGGTCTCTAGTCCCCAGGTTCTGCCATTTGATGAGATGTGTGTGTGTGTCCTCTTGATTCCCTCTTTGCTATTTATCTCTTATTTTGTCCTTCATGATACCACGAGCCCTGGATTTTCATGTAGTTAATTGCAATTCGAATATACCACGGGAGATGCAAATGAATCCATTCTTTTTAATAAACTAACACAATACATCACAATCATAACCATTGCAGGAAGTACGGAGTATGACAAGTACATCGAGGAGTGGATGCTGAATATGTGGAATTCGAACCCGAGCTGTCTACTGTCAAATTTCGCTGAAAACCCCCTTAAAAAGCACCAGAAACGCTCAAATGTACAAAGGACCATGCGCATGTCATAACCATAAAAGCAAAAAAAAGTGGGAAGATTGATGAGGAAGGAAAAAGCCAGACCCAACGCCATAGTCGAGTAGACCTAAACCTCTTGATATTCGTGTCCAAAACGAGATTGCGTATCGCCGAAGAGCCATCCGGCCTCACGGCAGTACCGCGCCTCTCTGCCATAGATGCCAACCTCACTTGCCCAGCAAATGACAGCGGCATCTACTATGTCAGCAATCACACCTTCCATTGCACCAAGCGTGGTCCATCCAATCGTTCCTGCGATAAGACCAACCACATAGGCATAGAGACTTCCACGGATGCTGTTGCCGGTGCTGGAGGTGGAGAGGCTTCGAGCAGTGGTCACCCAACCACCAAATCCGAGGGCCAACGACATCATGACCCGAGCAGCGTAGAGGATCAATTTCGAGAGCCGATAGGAGAGAAGAGATCCAGAGCCCGGGGATCGTGAATAGGACCGGGGATGTAAAGAATTTGAAGCCGCTGATGGGGCAAGAACAGTCATCTGACTGAGCCCCCGCGAAGAGGCACTCAGAGGCTGCGAGTGAATGGCAGCATAGCTGAGCGATAGTGGGTTGGTCAAGTAGGTGATGGGGGTGGGGACCAAGGAGTAGGCGAAGAGACTGATTAAGGAGGCGAGGCGACTCGGTAGTACGATCAGCGGTAATCGAACCAGGAGCCCGAGGAGTCGGGACAGCGAGATTGTACCGAACAGAGTCGTGACTGCGTGAACCACCGCTGCCTGAACAATTTGCCGGGAAGTTGGGGCAGGAGTTGCGAGACGGTGGAAATACCACTGGCTCACTGTGGCTGCCGTGACGGCCCGCTGTACGCCTGCGATGACACCGATGGACCACAGATATACGAGGACGAAGTAAATGCCGAGCCACCAGCTACCCACGTCGATGATAAAAGATCGTGAGCTGGTGAGATGGCCACCCAGGAAAACGCGAGTGAACATCAGCATCCAGATCCATGTCCAAGATACGACACAGACCAGAGTACCCAGGCCTAGGGCAAGTAACTCCGGATTGGCACCCAGGATTCGACAAGCGAATTCGAGGATGCCGATGGCCTTGCCAATGTTCTGACGCCCGCTAACGACGTTGTAAATCCACAGGGTGGCTATGAGAAATGGAAAAACGGACCCCCATCGCATGGCCTTGTCTTGTATGCTCGACCCGTGCCATGCCCCCTTGAAGCTTGAGATGAACGGGTACAGGGAGAATGAGTAAAGAATGACGGGGACAGCGACTAGGATCACATGGACGAGCAGTCGTACGTAGGACCGTAGTAACGCAAGCCAAAGAAGAGAGACCAAAATTGATACAATAGTATAGATCCCGAGTAAGAAGAAAGACCCATGGACAGTCATGTATATTGTATCGCCCCATTTTGATTTGTCTCCAGATGGAGTGGATGTGTGCAAGTACACCAGGAAGGCGGAAGCAAACAAGCCTGCGAGGGATATGAAGAACAACTGACCCCAGAAAGCATCATGTACTATATTCTCCGAGGCCAGAGGCGATACTGAGACGGGGAATGAGCCTGTGGAGCTAGGTGGCCGTGGCCCAATTTGAGATGAAAGGTCCTGCTCTTCAATGGGGTCAAGCGGGCTGGCTCCAAGCTCCCTTAATGGAGCTCGTTCACGGAATCTTTGAACCGGTGGATCGTGGGCACTTGGAGTGGATGATGCTAGCTCGTCATTGTCATTTCGTAGCGAATCTTCCAAGCCAACATCGACTAGGTGACCGCGGACTTTGCTACTGCTGGGGCTGGCATAGAATTCTGGCGCGCGTTCCGAGGCCTCGGCCACTGCCGGAAAAGCATGGATAGCTGGTATGCTTCTCTCACCCCGCCACGAGCTCTTGATACCTTTGCCATTGCCCGGGCGTTCATCGTATGGCGAGCTTTCCTCTAGCCCTGAGCGCCCAGAGTCCTCCAGTTCCGACGATTCTTTCAAATTACTGTCTCCAAAATTCCGTCTTGATCGTTGGAGTGCGTAGAAGTCTGCAATTTCTCGCTCACGTTCGGTCTCGTCATCCTCTTCTCGAAATTCATCGGTAGCACTGAAGAAGAGAGGGGCCGGTTGAGCTGCACCACGCGAGGCGAAGGGGAAATGAGAGACCTGCGATCCGGTAGGGCGATATGGGTCACTTGGTCGCAAGAAAGAGCGTGATGAGGGATGTCGAGGATTGCCTTGTATATTGGGACGACCACGACCTGCTCTTTGTACCTCATCTGGTTGGGCATTTATTCGTGACTGTGACTGGGCAAGAAAGCGTGAGGCATCTAGGAGACGAGGTCAGCCATGCAATCCCCAACAGGGGCTCTCTCATTCCTACATTCAGAAAACATCTCCCCCTGCGCAATGGAAAGTACGGTGAGGACCGAATGATGACAACAGAATGAGAATCAAGTACGTATTGTTTTGAAGATTATAGAAGAGTAGAGATAGCAAGAGAGAGAGAAAGACAGAGAGAAACAGAGACACAGAGAGGAGAGAGAGAGAGAGATTAGTATTGAGTAGGTCAGTTGCTAAGTGAAGATCGAAAGTCACGATGGAAGCGTCATACGGGCACATCACGATAGCTTACTCAGCAACTGATAAGTCGAGCATCTCCGCTTTGTTTTCCTCTTCACTTTTGATTCTTTCTGCTATGTCACAGCCATGGGATTATATTGCTAAGCTTGTCTGCATTGGTGACTCCGGCACCGGCAAGTCCAGCGTAAGTGCAGATGGTCTCTCTCGAAAGATCGACCGCTAACGAAAAGATAGCTCACTGTTCGACTCTGTGAAGGTCGCTTTTCCCCTTCTCACGATGTCACCATCGGGGTTGAGTTTGGATCACGAATCGTGCCAGTGGGTCCTCCAGCTTCTCTAGAGCTGGAACTCGATGAATCTGGGGGGTCGTCTGCGCACATACCAGAAGCATCTAGTTCTGGTCTACCTACACCTCCGCGAAAGCCACAAGGTGTACCCAATCAAAAGCGCATGAAGCTATCCTTGTGGGATACTGCTGGGCAGGAAACATACAAATCTATCACTCGATCATATTTCCGGGGTGCCTCGGGTGCACTTCTGGTGTTTGATATCTCCAGACGCTCGACCTTCATCTCATGTACCCAGTGGCTGCAAGATCTGCGGCAAATTGCAGAAGAAGGGATCGTCGTGATCTTGGTGGGGAATAAAAGCGACCTATCAGGAGCAGAATCAGGATCAAATCAAAGACAGGTCACCCGGGAGGAGGCCGAGGAGTGGTGCCAGATGAACAAGATCGTCCGCTATGTCGAAACCAGTGCCAAGTCTGGGGATGGGGTTGAGCGTGCATTCTTGGAAGTGGCCGAAAGAATCTATCGGAATATCGAAACGGGCAGATACGACCTGAATGATCGTCGGAGTGGCGTTAAAGGGTTCGGTGCCTCGGGGGGAGCAAATGCCGGAGTACCCAGAACCGTCACTCTAGGGATGGATGATGCTATGCGGAAAGGCAATGGTTGGAGTGGTGGGTGCTGCTAAATCAAAAGTCCACAGTAATACATAATATTTGCCCAGGTACAGGGAGGGGCATGCTACACTGGGCTTGAAACTAAAACAAAAAGGCCAGGGCTTTAGCGAAGCCATCACGATCATCAGGCTACATTAGGGTTACAGTGGTCTGCACGATGCGCTAGTTGTAACAACGTTCATTGCATTTCCCATGAGATAACTCTCCTAGAAGTCAAGAGTGAAGTGGCATCATGTGTGTTGATACAAGAACCATTCGCGATGAGCAAGGGTCGTGAGAAGAATTGGAGACATCAACACTCGCTATAAGGCTATGGAGGAAAAGGGACACAGAGATCTTGGATCCTTGCACTTATGCTTGGTTCGCGATCTTCCATCCAGGCAGCCAGCGCAGGTGAGTCCATTGCTGGTTGGAGCCTTCCATTCCGAATACAATGGCTCGGAAGTGAACGAACAATCCAATGACAGTAACATAGAGCAGGGCATAGACCACAGCGGCGAGTCTTGGGTTCATCTTTCGTGTCACCCAGTCGACGCAGAAGCCAAAGTTCAGAATGGCATAGTAAAGGGCTGGGTAGTAGTGGTGAACGTAAGTCACACGAGCCATGATGATGAAGGGAAGGTAGTGTAAAACCCATCCAATGATCGGATACAACCCAGAGTAGTGGATGTGGTCAATATCATCATTGCTGAGATCCTTGTAGCCTCTCTGCCAGCGGAGAAGATGCCAAAGGAACAGGAGACCGAACCCAACAAGACCAGCGCTGCTTCCCCAGTAAACAAGAGGGTTTCCGAGGAGATAGTATTTGACCACACTATCATCCCAAGAGCACATACGCAGACCAACGTTGAGAATTGGCCACTGCCAAAACTTGGAAGCCAGGTCATCCTGCTTGTCGGGATCAGGGACCAGTGCATTATTAGAAGTCATCATGGCCACATTCAAGTGAATGAAATCTTTCAAGAAGGGGGACTTGTAGGAGCCGGGGTCACCAGGTGGTACTATACAAAAGTTAGTGAATAAGCCCCAGGCTTCTCATTTCTGTGGAAACTTACGGCGCTCGTTGGTGTGCGACTCCACATTCCAATGGGTGTAAACGTCGCTGGGCTTGTTCTCCTTGACGCATGTGGTTTCGATCTGCTTGAAGCCCCACTGGGGCAGGTTGACATTTCCGGCACGGAGGTAGCAGCCCAGCACTGGATGGCGCAGCCGGAAGCCTGTGGTGAGCGTCCGAATCCTGGAGCGATCCCTGGATGCAGCATCGCTAACCACCTCCACTTTCCAGTGGTCTTTGTCGTCTCCAATGGTGATGTTTCCGTAAGAGGATACTTCGTGGTGGGATTTGGTAATCGGGGCCGGAATAGCATGAGAATGCAAGTTACGGCCAGTTTGTCCGTGAATCAACCTGATGACATCGCCGTCACCAACAAACCGAAGATCAGCGGTGGCGTTATAGTCCGGTTCCTGTCGGTTGGGGTAGATGAACCAGTCGTTGTTGGCATCCTTGTGGTGGTAGCAAGTGACTTGCTGCTGTTGGGAACCTTCGGGGAAGGTCTGCACATGAGAGTGCAAAAGGCCTCCTCCATACCCCATGTTCTTGAGTGTGATTCTCGAACCAATTGCAAGCTCAAGGGGGCTGTCCCTGCCGACCTCGGTGCCACGCAGGTTAGCTTGGAAAAGAGAGCTCATTTGAGCATCGCCGGGGCCACTGTTCGATAGCACCAAGAAGTGCATGTAGAAAGAAAACATATAAACCAAGATGGGAATGACAATTAATCCCACGACGCGAGCGACAACATGCTTTGCAAGTACGGCCTGTCAAAAGCGGGCATGCATTAGCTTTCGGCTTTTCAACAGAATCGAGATACTTACCTGGGGCATCTTGAGGTCGCCAAACTTGTTCCACAGGTCGTCGATGGTGTACAGGCCTACAAGAGCGGTACAGAAGAAACCAACCCATTTGACACTGCAGACGCATCCAATACTCAAACCAGTCAGGAACAACCAAGTCCACCATTCCAACGAGAAGCTGGCACGCTGCAGGCGATGGAACCTCGCCCAACACATTGTGGTGGTAAAGGTGAAACAAAGTAGCATGGAGTCTAACAGAATGAAGCGAGAGATGGTTGCGTATGAGTTCTCACACAGCACCATCAGACTGATCAGCCAGACCGTGGCTCTGCGGAAGTTCAACTCTCGAGCTGTGTAGTAAGCCAGAGGGATGCAGACGATGCCGAAAGCGGCGTTGAAGGCTCGCATAAAGGTATAGTCCACATCTTCAGGATACTTCTCGCCAGACTTGAATTCAAAGGATCCATTGTAGCCCGCAAGATAGCCGGATAGGCCAACTAGCATCTTTCCCAACGGGGGGTGTACATCGAAGTAGAACTCGCGCTTCAGGTAGTGAGAACCGAATTTACCGAAGTGAGCCTCATCCCAAGTGACGATGTTGGATCGGCCGATCTGGTATAAGCGGGTGAAGAGGGCGAGGGCAGTCAAAATGATAGGAACAATGATCGGTTCCCAGCGAGCGAGTACATGGAGGAATGAGGGGGACTGTTCTCAGGAGGTTAGCGGGACTCTGCTTGCGTGCGGGTGGTTATTTCAGGTCTTCTCACCTGCTTGGACTTTGTCTTCTCCTCCTCGGTTGTTCGAGCATTGTCCACATTGGCTCTAGAACCAGTGACATTCCTGCGACGCAGGTCGGAATCCAGATTGGCGCCGGAGCTCACGGCAGTGTCTAGTGCCGCCATGGTGCAATTCGGGGGGGGGGGATTTTTCAATTGCGCGATAGATTTGTCGAAGCAAGGGACTGTAATTGAAATAAATAGAGAAATAGACTCTGACAAATAGGGTAGATGTTCAAAGGCTAAGAGGGTTTGCCTTAGGGGAACATAGCCATTCCCCGGGGCAGAATGAGGGGAGAACGGGAAAGTCAAGCTCTCAAGAGATTGAAAAGGATGAAAGTAGGAATGAAGAATGAAATAAAGAAAGAAAAAAACGAAAGAAATGGGGGTGATGGAAAAGAAGGAGAGAAAGTGAGCGTGGCCTCTCAGGATAAACAAGTCCACTTTTTAGTTGCCGCTTTCAGAACGTGGCCTATTTCGTCGAAACACCACTTTCGGCCATTGGGGCCATTTGGGCCATTTTTGTCCATTTCTTCCAATTTCTTCCATATGCATCACAGTTCTCTACCGGTAAGATCTATACAATACTGTTTCCATGTTCAATGCTTTAATCCCCCCTCACCGTTCATCTTCACCTTGTTCAAGTCGCCGATATTGACTGCTCGTTCCGGGGCGGTTTCGATTGATCATACCTGAGATCCACCCACCAAGTCCTTCCCGTCGGGAACCACTCTGCTGGGAATCTGAACGGCCCCGTTTGGTGACTCTATCGGGACTCAGACTGGGGGGATCGATGTCAAGTCCTGGGATTGAACTCTCCGTTCCAAATTGGCCATACTGCCGCCGCAGGTCCAGCGAGGGAACGGGTGATCCAGCCCCCATTAATGAACCTCGCTCGCCTTGAGTGGCAGGTGTGGGCATCGCAGTCGAGGCATCGCCGAAGAGCTCGTTCATATCTTCCAATCGAACGCCACTCGTCTCGGGGTACAGGAAGTAAACTTTAAAAAAAAAAGATATCAATATAATGGAAAGAAGGTCAAGAGTGGGATACTTACCAAGTACAAAACTACAGGCGCAGAAAAATGCATGGACCAAATACAACCGCCACTTGATGGCTTCTTGGAGAACAGGGGTCACTTCACCCACGAGCCAGTTGAATGCCCAGTTTGAAGCGGTGCTCAAGCTGGCACCTTTGGCCCGAATGCTCAGAGGCAAGATCTCCGGAGGGTAGAGCCATGGAATGGGTCCCCACGACGCCCCGAAGGCTGCATTGTAGACCATGACAAAGATGACTGTGAGGGTGCGTGTGGCGGGGATATCGATGTATATGAAGTACGAGATCAGAGAGAGTGAAATGATCATCGCCACAGCACCCGAAAGCAAGATAGGACGCCGGCCCCATCCATCCACCAAATACCAGGGGGGTATAGTGGACAAGAGGTATGAAATTCCATTAATTCCAGTCATGAGAATGGCATCCCGACCCTTCCAGCCAGCCTGTAGGAAATGGTTATCAATATCAATCTCGTGCAAGATGTTGTTCTTTAGGGACATGGGAAGGTATTGTTGCCCTAAAATGGTCTAGCAGCGGGTGGGTATTCATACCGATTCAAACACGAGGGGTGCATAATAGGAGATCACATTGATTCCGTTGAGCTGGGCTAAAGCTTGGGCCGACATGGCGATCAGAACGCGCTTGCGATAGCGACTGAACATGTCTGCGTAAGAGCGCTCGCCTTCCTGTCGCTGGACGAGGACGTTCATCTTGATCTCACGGTATTCTTGGCGGGCTTTGTCATTAAGTAGGTCGCCTTCGCCGTAAAGGTTGGCGATTACCACCATACCCTCCTCGTCGTGATCATTATCAAGAAGCCATCTGAGAGGAAGTGAGTTGGTGAACCAGGTGTAGGCCATATATCTACTCACCTCGGTGATTCGCATATAAGCAAGCTACCAAAGCCAAGCAAGGCACCCATAATGCACTGAAACAGCAGTGGAAGACGCCAGGAATAATCGTTGTCGATAAAACTACAAAAGTAGTCAACCCACACACTGGTCGCATATCCAGCGATATTTCCTGTGAATTCGATGCATGCAAGTTTTCCCCGGTTGTGAGGAGGCTGCCAACGTATCAGCACTTCGCCTAGAACTACCAATGCCAAAGGAAGAAGTACATACCGAGATTTCTGACTGGTACACCGGTACAATGGTGGATAGCGCGCCGACACCGAGTCCAGCAATCACACGCCCAACCATCATCATCGGTATACCGTTTGCGAACGTCTGAAACGCACCGCCAATGAAGAAGACAATCGAACCATAAAGAATAGTTCTCCGGCGACCGATGACGTCGCCCACCTTCCCCACAAGGAGGGATGATATGAATGCGCCGATTTCAAGGACGGCGACCACAGTCCCGATGGTAGCCCGGGACGGTTGGTTGAAGTAATCCTTGAAGTGCCTCCCACTACTCCAGTTAGCTCCTGTATGCATTGTTTCGGGAAGTTCACTTGGAGGGATACCAACGTTATAATGCCGGACATCACACCTTGATCATAGCCAAAGAGGAACACACCCAAGGATACAAACACACTCGTGAAGTAACTATCATCAGCGTCAGTGGGGTTAGTGTCGGACGAGAGGACGAAAAGACTTGCAGCAGTGGCTTTCCCACCAAGCCATGTATCTGGGTATTCGATGCATTTCTCGGTGTCATGATTGCTGCTAGAGCGCGCTCGGCTCTGGAAATCTTCCGTGGAGGTGGGTTTGGGATTGTGATCTTCTCAATGTCGAGCCCAGACGGATGGCTGGAGGCTGACTCGTAATGTACGTGCTTGGGCTTCCTCCGTCCTTTGCGACCCAGAAGCTCCCGATCTACCGATTCGAGATGATTCTGTAACGGGTCCTCTCCGGCGAGCTGCTCGGCGAGGTCACCGGTGTCCGACCAAATGGAAAAGCCCGACTCGGCCGAGCGAGCAGACGAATGAGACGACCGTCGACTGCCCTTTTCGCTGTGATCTTTGGTGGAATCAGATTGTAGTGGTTGGAGGGGTATGTGAGAGGCGCGTGAGGAGGATGGAAGAATGATGGCGGTGACGGGCTAACGCCCGGGGAATGCGACGTTATTGATACTCTAAGCGATTCTCCGCAAGGACCACGAGGATCGTAAGGATCGCAAGGATCAGGAGTCAGCTGTTCTCCTCTCTTTTGTTCTGTTCTTTTTTTTTTCCGCTTGGGCGCCACTTGTTGAAGCTAGGTCTGTACGTCGCTACGTATGGATCGGCGTCCAGGTGTCGTACTGTATGGGAGTAGGCGCTGTGGGTGTTGTTGGTACAGTATTGTAGGTACGGAGTCCCCGGTACTAAGTCACACGATGGGGTCAGATGAGAAGATGATTTGCGTTTATAAAGTAAGGGACTTTGGGCATTACAGAGAGAGAAGAGGAGAGAGAAAGAAGAGTCCAGTTATATTTAGGGGGAGTGGATACCTCGAATCCGGGGGAGATCGACTGTATGTATGGTCTGGTATGGTCTGGTATGGTCTGGTCATATATGTATTTTTGGTATAGTTCATCAGTAACTAACGTAGTATAAATTAGATATTGGTACCTGCAGTATGCATAATACCACTGATACCTGCTTCACAGGACTCATCTATAGAAGGCATTCATGTTCCAGAGCCAGTGGGTTGGAAAAGCAGAACAGAGACATCTTTCAAAAGGGTATCATATGTGGTCACAAGAGAAATCTATAGGGCTGTCGATGTCCGGCTCAAAAGCAAAATTGAAGTAGAGAGATAAAAGCACGCTATGTGAGAAGGATGTCATATCCATCTTTCTCGATGTGGACAGCATCGGCCAGGCTGGCATATCGTCGGCGGACCAGCTCGAAGATCACCAACCCAGCGCTAGTACTAGGCACTTGGCGGATGGCAGTCCCGAGGAACCCCCGAAACAGCCACGGGCGCCAGCCTCCGACACGCGCTGCCTTCCGCCTGCACCGTTTGAAAGTCTCTTGATATGCGTGGTAATACAATTGCATCATTCTCTGCCGCGAAGGGGTGAGGCTGACTTGGTGGTCTAGGTATTCCAGTCGACCCAAGTGAAGATCTTGGATGATGCTCAAAGGGTGTTGAATCCCTTGCTGAGCGATCGAGGCCACAACGCCGGCCATCATGAGAAAACAGGGCTCCAGCGCGTAATGAGGTTTAATGAGTGGCACACCCCGCTCACTGACCTCTGAGGTGGCAAGCATGTCCACCCGGTTAGTCTGCAGGGACCCATAGTACCAGGTGACAAAAGAATAATAGGATTGAGATTTGATGTACTCAAATGACGAGAAGAAGACTGCATAGCCAAGGGAGTCACGCAAGAAGGAGAGACTCCAGCCAGCAAAGACCCCCCGGAGACCAATCTGTTTGAGTTTTTGGTGGCCGTAGTGCCACATGCTCCGGTATTGGCCCTCGAGCATGTCACTGGTCCGAAGGCGAACCTGCAGAGCATCCAGTGGAGCAGCGATGATTGACTGGATGGTTCCTGCGGTAAAACCGGCAGTGAAAGTTGCAGAGGGAGGGGCTGGGGGCCAGACTCGCTTGGCTCCCTGGGAGACAGGTTCATGGAGAGTCCCTAAAACCTGCAGGTAAGATGTGTAGAGAACAGCACCAATCCTAGAAAACACAGTCAACGTCCTGTACAGTGCCAGGGATACACTGAGAAGTAAACCCACCCTGCATTTGCCATCAGGGGTGGCAGGACTTGGTTGGGGATAAACCGCCAGCCGTATGTTCGAACGGCATGGAGTAACAGTCCGGGAGTGGTGGTATGAAGAGACCATTTACCTTCTGCAACACGAGGGTTTACAGCTCTTGCATATGCCTGTTCCAAGTAGAATGCCAGACAAGGCCCATAGTTAGCCTGGGTCTCTAGCAGAAGTCCAAGGGCATCAAGAAGTATATACCATATAACTGAAGAACAAAGATTAGAGGGGTGGCTCGCTCTGAGGATCCGTCTACTTACTCGACTCGAGTACGAAAGAATGCTTTTATTGGAGCCCTAAAATAAAAGGCTACCATTTGTGCACTGAGGGCGCGGACACCTGCTGCAGACACTCCGGTGGCTGCATCATTGCGAGGTTTTCTTCTGGGATTTCCCAGCTCCCCCAGTTCCCCCAGATGAGGTTCAAGCAGTATGGGAGCTATTGGTTTCATTGTTGATCATGAAGCGACAGTGGACATCATAGGTGGTATTTGTTCAGAGACTGGTTGGAGAGTATTTGGAGAGTGATGAGGGGGGCATCACAAGGTGACGAGTGAGGTGATCAAACAGAGGTTCACACATGACATGGCCTTATACCCAGTCTAGAAAAAGAGAAAAGAAAGGAACAATCCCCAGAAAGAGAAGGATGCAGAGTACTAGACAGAAAGGAAACGAGAGAGAGAGAGAGAGCTATTCGAATATTGGAGGCTAAGCCCAAAAGGGTAATACTTTGACACGGTAGACCACTAAGGCCTAAGCCGCCAAAACGCGCTTTTCGCGTTCCCCTAAGCTTGTTCTTCTACACCCTTTCCATCTATCCAGATCAACTTTCCAGATTTTTGCAAAAAAACCATCCATCTTCATCATCACGGCTGTCGCATATCGCCGTCATTTCAGAACCCTCTCTATCAGATCATCTGCCGGGTTTGCGACAGCTCTTTCTTTCTAGCTTGCGACTTCGTCATTGCGGCAAATCCTTCTGGCGCTGAACACCATGGCTGAGGATATCGCAATTGACAGTAACACATTTTTCAGTCGCCTGTCCAGCTTGTATGCATCATGGAAGGCTGACAAGCGTTCGGGAAATGCCCTCTTCGGCAATGCAGGTTCTATGGTCATTCTCATGGGCAAGACCGATGAAGAGAACTCATTCCAGAAGAACAATGCGATGCATGTGAGTATTCCATCTTGATCCCTAGCATGTCTCATATGGTTGCTAACGGGTCATCACCTTAGTTCTGGCTTCTCGGATACGAATTCCCAGCCACTCTTTTTGTCCTCACAACCGAAGCAATCTACGTGGTCACTACAGCCAAGAAGGGTGAGTAGCATCGACTGTCTCGACCCATATCACATATCTGACCAGTCTGTATTACAGCGAAGCATTTGGAACCCCTCAAGAACGGCAAGATCCCAGTTGAGCTCTTGGTAACCACAAAAGATCCGGAGACAAAGGTCAAGGCATTTGAGAAGTGCTCAGAAGTCATCAAAGCTGCAGGAGTGAGTCAGAGTGTCATGCCTATTTGGAAAAGAAAAACTGTGTTTCGCAGCCAACTAACCACAAAACCCACAGGGTAAAGTTGGCACATTCCCTAAAGACACAGCGTCAGGTCCCTTCGCGGATGAATGGAAGCGGGCCTTCGCGGATATCTCGAAAGAGGTTGAGGAAGTCGACATCACACCCGCACTTTCCGCCGCCTTCGCCATTAAGGATTCTGATGAATTGGTTCGTTAATCAACCTGTGCCCATTAAGTGACGATTATTGACGCAGTGTGAAGGTATCTATCCGCAATGCATCCCGAGCATGCAGTGGCCTGATGTCCGAATACTTTGTAGACGAGATGTCACGTTTGCTCGACGAAGAGCAGAAGATGACCCACAAGGCACTTGCCGCAAAGGTCGATGCAAAGATTGACGACGCAAAGTTCTTCAACAAGCTGGCGCGACTGCCGTCAGAGTTTGATGCCCAGCAGATCGACTGGGCTTATGGACCTGTGATCCAAAGCGGAGGCACATACGACCTCAAGCTCACGGCTAAATCGGATGGCAAGGCCCTCGAGCCCGGTATCATTTTGTCCAGCTTCGGAATTCGATACAAGACTTATAGCTCCCTCATTGGGCGTACTTATCTCGTTGACCCCACCAAGGCACAGGAAGCAAACTATGCTCTTCTGTTGAGCCTCCACGAAGCGACCATGAAAGAAATTCGAGACGGTGTGGTGGCCAAGGACGTCTACAACAAAGCGTTGACCCTTGTTCGCGCCAAAAAACCCGAACTTGAGGCACATTTCGTGAAAAATGTTGGCGCAGGCATTGGAATTGAGCTCCGAGATGCCAACATGGTGCTCAATGCCAAAAACAACCGCGTGCTGAAGAACGGCATGACATTCTCTATCACAATCGGACTGACTGATGTGAAGGATGCAGATCCCAAGAGTGCCAAGAACGGTGCCTATTCTATGGTCATTACTGACACTGTCCGTGTGGGAGATAATGGACCTCATATCTTCACCAAGGATGCAGGCATTGACATGGATTCTATTTCGTTCTACTTTGGCGACGAAGAAGAGCCCGAAAAGCCTGCCAAGGAGAAGAAAGAGACCAAGCCCATCGCTCTTGCGAACAGAAATGTCACACGAACTAAGCTTCGCGCCGAGCGACCCACGCAGGTCAATGAAGGCGCCGAGGCCCGCCGTCGCGAACACCAGAAAGAGCTTGCCTCGAAGAAGACAAAGGAGGGCTTGGATCGTTTTACCGGTACTACAGGAGACGAGAACGGAGTTGCACAGAAGAAATTCAAGCGCTTTGAATCTTACAAGCGTGACAACCAGCTTCCGGCTAAGGTTAAAGACCTTGTGGTTTACGTTGACCTCAAGACTTCAACTGTCATTGTGCCCATCATGGGTCGACCGGTTCCTTTCCACATCAACACCATCAAGAATGCCAGCAAGAGCGACGAAGGAGAGTATGCATACCTCCGCATCAACTTCTTGTCTCCGGGTCAAGGTGTTGGCAGGAAGGATGACCAGCCATTCGAAGATCTGTCCGCTCATTTCGTCCGCAACCTTACTCTACGATCCAAGGACAATGATCGACTGGCGCGAGTTGCGCAGGATATCACTGAACTGCGCAAGACTGCTCTGAGGCGAGAACAGGAGAAGAAGGAGATGGAGGATGTCGTGGAGCAGGATAAGTTGGTCGAGATTAGAAACAGACGTCCAGTGAAGCTTCCCGACGTCTATCTCCGACCTCCCTTGGACGGAAAGCGTGTACCTGGAGAGGTTGAGATCCACCAAAATGGTCTTCGTTACCTATCCCCCTTCCGCAATGAGCACGTCGATGTGCTTTTCAGCAATGTCAAGCATCTCTTCTTCCAACCATGTGCCCATGAGTTGATCGTGCTCATCCATGTGCACCTCAAGACACCTATCATGATTGGCAAAAGGAAGACCAAGGACATCCAGTTCTACCGTGAAGCGACAGAAATGCAGTTCGATGAAACAGGGAACCGCCGACGCAAGCACCGCTACGGAGACGAGGAAGAGTTTGAGGCTGAGCAGGAGGAAAGACGCCGCAGAGCCGCGTTGGATCGAGAGTTCAAGGCTTTTGCCGAGAAGATCGCAGATGCTGGCAAGGATGAAGGCGTCGATGTCGATATTCCCTTCCGGGAGATTGGCTTCACTGGTGTTCCCAACCGGTCTAATGTTCTGATCCAACCGACCACGGATGCTCTGGTTCAACTGACCGAGCCTCCGTTCACGACCGTTACGTTGAATGAAATTGAAATTGCGCATCTGGAGAGAGTTCAGGTAAGAATCCCTCCCTGTTTGTCTGAATATAGAATTTACTAACCCCCCTTGAACAGTTTGGCCTCAAAAACTTTGATCTGGTGTTTGTCTTCAAGGACTTCCGACGGGCCCCCGTTCACATCAACACAATCCCCGTCGAGGCCCTGGAGGGTGTGAAGGACTGGCTTGATTCGGTTGACATTGCTTTCACCGAGGGTCCCCTCAACTTGAACTGGACCACGATTATGAAAACGGTTGTGAGCGACCCTTATGGGTTCTTCGCCGATGGTGGTTGGTCCTTCTTGTCTGCCGAATCAGACTCAGAAGGCTCGGATGAGGAAGAAGAATCCGCATTCGAGTTGTCCGATGAAGAGCTTGCCGCAGGCGATGAGAGCTCGGAAGAAGACAGCGAGTTTGACGATGATGCCAGCGCTGACGCCAGTGAGGAGGAATTCAGCGGCGACGAGGAAAGTGGCGAGGACTGGGACGAACTTGAAGAAAAGGCCAAACGCAAGGATAAAGAAACCAACGACGACAGCGATCGTGGCACCAAGCGCAAGCGCTAGTTGGATTTACATTCGGCTGAGGACGTAGCACTTCTCATGTCTGTTCATTATTCATTACACTTCTTTTCCCCTTATGTGTTTCTATTACTGGCAATTTCTCAAGGGCTTATTTGGCTCAGGCCGAATTGCAGCTCTGTGTACTCGAACTGATAACATATTTTGCGAGTTACCCTTACTCTAGTCTCCTATAATCGCAGTATGTTTTCTAATTATCCTATTTCCCTTCGCGCATAGATGACCACATGCTCCGCATGCGTTCGCCCTGTCCGGGCGTGAAACTTTCATAACAGACATCAGACGAGTAATCCATGAAGTCGTGTACTGCATCCGCTCCGGGACTGTCCGGGCAGGAGTCCTTATGGGCTGGACAGCCATCGGTAGGTGTCGATTGCTGTGGGGTGTCACTGATGTAGTCGCCAGGGTTGTCGGCAGAGCAAGATTCGCCCTGGAAGGTGTGCAACAGGCCATTCCAATGGCCAATCTCGTGAATGGCGGTGCCACCCCTATTATACAGATCCAGTGAGCCACCGGGCATGGTTTTGGCTAGAATGTTGCAGCCATCCTTGACATATTGGGATGCCGGGCTGCTGGCATTAATAGCAGGGTCGGGCAGGGTGCAGAATCCAAGAACACTCGAAGCCAAGTCACCCCTGGTCCCAAGAGCACGTCCCGATTGCCCGGGAGCTGCCTGCAGATTGGTTTGGAAGTAAACATTCAGAGTGCGATAGGTTCCTTTACGGAGAGCGGTCTTCATGGCCACATCATCCCCATTCCGCGCCCACTCGTCATTGACATGGCGGGTGACTCCCTCGAGGCGGAAGGAAATATCAGAATCCTGGTATGATTGTTGAAGGATGGACAGCTACGCTTGGTTAGAAGCGAAAAGGGGAGTACCGGGGGCACAAAGTACTGACTTGGGCATCGGCCATATCATCTGTCACCTGTGAGGACTCCGACTCGCTGCTCACAATGTGAAACCATGTCTCAATCTCGATGGGGGCCTTTCGGGCTTGGGTATTGGCCGACGCGGCTGCAGCAGATTTCTGTCGACCGATTTCACTGAGGAAGTTCTCGTCGGGGTCTTCAGTGGCACACGCGCCTCGGGTCTGAAGCGCAAGGGGACCGCAGTGAGCCTGCAGGGCAAGGGATGTGACAAGGACCACGAGCTGCAAAAATGAATGACGGACCATGTTGGTGTTGGAAGCTCTGGGGTTCGACGTCTCCCCCGGGGGACAAAAAAGATTGGAAATTAGCAAAGCAAAAGAGCGAATAAGTTGGAAAGAGAATCCCCAGTGCCCAGGGTTTATGACTGGGTTCTTCTGCCAGAGACTCAACGTGGTCTGATTCCATGATCCGGAGGAATGCTGCGTCATGGGGAATGCATAGATCCTCGGTAAAAGTCAGCAAGGTAAGCAAGGGGAATACTTGAGAAGCATGCGTGGAACGATCAGCGGCAATTGGTATGTAAAAACATTGACAAGAGAAAGATTTTGAAAAGGAGACTGCAGAGAGTTAAGATACATGAGAAAACACCTTGCCAAAACACCAAAGGTTTCCGGATTATTTACACCAAGACAGAGAATGAAAAGAGGAAGCTCAAGGTCCATTGTTAAACCGGTCGTCTCGCCCCGTGGCAGTCCCCGTACTCGGTTGATTCGAGTCCCAGGTCAGATAGGTGTGATCACCGAGTTTTCTAAATCACAAGTTAGTCTTCTAGATACCATGGAGTAGACACGGGAAATTTCATACCTTGGACGCACCAAGTGTGCGACAGTGAACAGGGCCCCAAGAAGCACACAGACGCCCCCAACCACGACATAGGCGATTCCCATGAATGGGTTCTTGCCCCCAAGAGCGGTTCGAGTAGAGATCAAGATTGACTTCGTGCCCGAGTATTCCGTGACATTGAAATCTAAGCGCGTGTTAGCGGGAGGCTGATGGGAGACAATGGAAGGAACCCACAGTCAGTAATGTCAATTGAATAGAGGCCGGCAGACATGCTCTCATTGTCGTTGCGCCTGGAAAGCTTGCTGAATGATGGTAGCCCAGCCGTTCTCATCCAGACCAAGAAATCTTCATTATCATGAAGTTTATCCATCTCTAGGTAGTCGCCGTTGTTTACAGCCCAACGCCAGTTTGGGGGCGGGGAGACCTCTGAGGTGGTGTATTTGGTCTTCTTGATGAGTTCCTTGTCGCTTTGCCACGCAATGCCTTTCTTGTTCATAATGTAGGGGGTCAGCTTTCCGTTCGCCGATCCCTCGGGCGAGCGTAATTGGGGGTTCCCAATGGAGTCATTGAACATTGAGTTGGCAATCAGTCCACATGGGTAAATAGGTTTCTTGGCTGTTTCGTTGACTGCTAGAGGATCGCATGTGCCACCTTTCAGAGTACCATAGGAGACAGCATCTCCCTTGAGTTGATTTAGGTCGAGCGACTGGACGTAACGGCGGTGATTTTGGTAGAAGTTGGTGAGACGGTAGTACATGAAAACGGGCGCTGGGAGGTCATCCGGAATGTCGAAAATCAGGGTGCAAGTGGTATCTTGTGTCGAACTGTTGACCGATCGCTGCCATGTAGGGGCACTTCGCATTTTGGATTTGAAAGTCGCCGAGTAAGTGGGAACGGGGCCCTCCCTATCCAATGGGGCCAACCTTGAGCAGTCGGAATAGTCGATGGAGATTTCTTGGACCTAGATCGCATAGCGCGTGAGGGCTGATTTCTGGCAGGAGGGATGAATCGAGGACGACTTACTAGGGAGCTCGCCCAAAGAAGGACACCACCGATGGGGGCAAACACGACGCCAATGATGAAGAACAGAGGTAGGACACTTTTCGGAGTGAGGATGGGTCTGAAGGGCATTAGCAAAGTGCCAAACTGGCGTGGCATTCAAACTCACTGCCATGCTTTCAGTCGCTGCTGGCGGAAAGCAGTATCTAGACGATTTAGTGATGCGAACCAAGGGGATGGAGATTGAACTTACTCGCTGGTCGGCGGCTCTTGGGCTTCTTGTCATCTTCCCGATGATCTTGGTCAATAGACCCCGGACGAGTGTCCTGCGACATGATGCCAGAGTGATGGGAAATAGATGAAGTTGATAAGACAAGGAGACGTCAGAAAAAGGTGGCGCGGACGCGCCGGCAGAGCGCCCCACCGCTTTTTAATTAGAAACACGTTTGATACGCGATCTCGATACGTATTATACCAGAATGTACTATTAGTGAACTACATCTATAGGTGGACTTTGTTTTAAATGCATTGATTCAATTCAACTAAAGACCAAATCTGGTCAGGGTATCAAGCCTAGTCCCGAAGGCATAGGACAGGCCAAAATTCAAAAGCAAAACCCTCAAGCCCCAAACCAATCTAGTTCAGATGGTAAAAAAAATCATAAAGAGTGTGTGCCGGAACTCCATAACTAGTAACCAGGGAAGAACAGGATCAGAAATCCCAGGGAATGTGAGGGAAGCATCATAAAACCAGTGTAACGTCTGTATGCATATGGAACCGAGGGGGGAATCTTCAAGCGCAAACCAAAAAGCAAGAAAATCGGAGCGCAGAAAATAAGAGAAAGTGGAAAAAGCAAATCGTCACGGGTCGTAAGGGTGAAGTAGCGATGAGACCGAAAATTGAAAAAGAGATAAGTCCATAGGAGTCAATGAAGAGATGCCGTCTGTCTTTGGCGGGAGGCTGTGCTCGAAAAATTAATAGACGGAGGCTGTATTGCGCAGTGATGGTTCACTGGGGGTCAGTGAAAGAAAGTCATCCTTGGGAGAAAGGTTTAATCCGGTAGAAGGGGGAGCCAACCAGGCCGACATGGTTGTGGGCTGGATCCATCGGGAGTTTGGGAGATCATTTCAGGTATTGATGGAAATATTCAGGCTTGAACCAACCCACACGCTCATATGCGGTCCATAGTTTGCTCGCCTTATTGACGTCAATCTTGCAAGCCTGTTGAGCATCGGTCTTGCGGAACTCTTTGCCCACGCCTAAGGCTCGCACACGAGCTTCAAAGATCCGACGCTTGCTGCAGAGGTAGGTGGCACAGGAGAGTCTCAGGGTGGAAGCCAGATTGAGCTCGGCTGGACTCAGCATATGTTTATCCACATCGGCACTCAGGTCTAGCATCTGCCCTTTCCAATCCGCCTTCAGTGCCTTGACATTGCTGCCCAAGGTTTCCAGTGGGGGGGAATAGTCCATCAGTGAGTGGTAATCGGTATCATCACGGTTCGTACCCAGGGTACGCGGCTTGGTGGCCGGGGGGGAATCAAAGGTATCAAACACCTGCTGCTTGGGGGTAGACTTAGGGGTTCGTCTGACTCTGGGTCGCTGCTGCATCCGGGGCTGGACTCCTGCTTTCTTGGCAGGGGCGGGGGCAATTCTCTTCAACTTGGGCTCGCGGTCTGGGCGATGACGGTTCATCATGACCATCTGGCGTTCCAGGGTTTCCCGCTCCTCCCGTGCCCAGGCAGCGGGGTTGCGGTTGTACTGAGTCGAAACGATGGGCACGCAAGACAATGCCAACAGGTACTCATCTCGGGTGGGTTTATTTACTTTGTTCCGAAACAATGCCATGTGCGAGTCGATGTGCCGCGCCACCAGAGCGTCCGTCGATGGAGGAGCGGGGCCGAACAATGGCTCGTCATGGGCGTCAGTACTCGATTCCTGTGGTGGGAAGAGAACGGGATCCCTAGAGGATCCCACTTCCAAGTGGTCAGATGGCGAATCCCGTTTCTTGTTCCCGGTATACGGGGTGACAGGTGGTGATGGAAGATTCATTTCCGACTGTGTGCGTTTTCGATCAGTTGCAATTGGAGGAAGCTTCATATCACCGGCGGTGGGATGAGGCTTTGCGAAGGGTGAGAGTGCAGGGAAACTCTCGATTGGCTTTGTCTCTGGTGGAGACATGAGGCTCGACACTGAGAGTCGATTCATGTTGGGCTGTTGGGCCGACTGCCCCGGTGATGTCATACCAGATGAGGGAATTGAGAATGATTCCAGGAGATTGAGAGAACGTTGGTAAGTAAAGAGGGGAAGGTAGAGAGACAGAGAGATGGGGGAAAGGAAGAGGGAGAGAAGTGAGGAAGAATTGAGAATACAAATGCCGAAAGAGGGAAGTCAATGGAATTGGTTGATTTGTCACCTCTTGCCTCTTTGTCTGATAAGCGCAGAGTCAATTCGAGCAAAGAGCAGAAAGAAAGAAAGAAGGGTAATTGGGCGACACTGGGCTTTAAGTGAGTCAAGATAAACTGCGGGGTGGCGCGTACCAGATGTTTCCAAGGGGCTCATGAGACGGTCTCATGAGACAATGGACAACCAATGAGTTGAAGCGCAAAGAAGAGGGAAAGAGAGAGAAAGGGCATCAGAGCGTTGGGGCGCAGTCATCTGGGAACCCAGCTGATCGGTAATACTGCCCAATGCCCTGTGTACTCGATACACTTCTTTACACTTCTTTTACACTTCTTTTACAGTCTTACTCTCTTGGGGGGGCTTGGGAGTGCTCCGACACTCATAATATATCTACCCTCAGTACGGTCCGTATTGTCAGTACTGTCAGTACCGAGAACCCTATTACCAGAATTACGGCAAATACCATTATCTTCATTACCATTATTACCATACTTGTATTGATCTTTCAACCACATGACAACATCCCATGCGGGCAATCACCTAATAGGACGGCCGCAGCACCGAGTGGGCCAATCACCTTGAGTCATTGACTTCTGCATTTCTCCTCTCAAATGCTCAATTCCTGTTCTTCTTCTTTTTTTGGTATTTCACTCGGGTATGGCGCGTATCGCTGACGTCAGTTATGACTCACATCCCCTGCTGCCTGCCAGGCACGAGGACTCACTCTTCACCTGAGGCTGAATCTACAGGGCCACCACTCTACACTAAGATCCTCTTCAATCCTCTTAGTCTACATGTCCGACATGGACTTGCCCTGCAAACTCAATGCCTGGCATGTTGGGAATGCCTGCACACCAGAAGAACCGACGGAGGAAGCCTGGCCATTGCAGCCATCTCTACTCCCTAGCCATCACGGGAGACCTCGGGACAGAGCTCGTTCTTGAATTGTTCCTATCACAGGGTTGAGTACGGGGGAGAATCAGGGGAAGAATTGGTGAAAATACCTATTACCAAGATAATCAGTCTGATGTGATCTGATGTGATAGTGGCACTGATCAAGCAGAAAACGCCCAAACTCGGGATTCCGCCTAATCCAACGTTTCGGCTATATCCAGATGTATTCCATCTCCGTACGAGTAAACATATGATTAAATATCAAACTACAGAGTACAAATTAGGAGGAAGAATATCAACCCTATTGATATTAGTCCCACCCCTCTTGACCCGATAATTCAGGCCAAATCCAAATACCTCTCTTACCGCTCCCTGGGAGGCACTGACTGAATTTTTGCATATAGGGTGGAGAGACATCGGGTATGTATTATAAGGGAGCCTTCAGTGTGGCAATCAGGAGGGTTATCACAAATGGCCTTTTGGTAAAATGCCCGGGTTGCGCCCGGGTCATATACACCTGGCTTTATATGGGAATGGGCCGAGATCATTGCCCCGATAATAACACGCGTGTTCGCAGGATTGTCTTCCTCATTGGGCCCAGCAATAGAGGTCTTGGGTGGTCTCTATTGGATGATATAGACAGGCGATGAATTTTGAATCAGCATATAGAAAGAAGAGGAAGGACACCTTCGTAGCTTTATATCTTATGTGAGGATTGGCAGGTTACCAACATTTCTTTCAGCCCTCTCGGGAGGCGGGACTGGTCTTTCCCCCTTCTCCTATCCTTCTCTTCTCCAAGTTTAGTGTCTCGGGGAATAGGACCACACGGTGTGTTTTTCTGTCTTTGGTTGGTCAGATGTAAAGGTCTAAAGCACCGCTTCACAGGTTGCTTCGTGTGAGGGGAGGATTCGGCCAGCCGCCAGTAGACGGAATAGTTGCGGAGCAAAGCCAAGCAATATTGACCAACTGGTCAATTTGAGGTCACGTGACATGGCGTGTAGCATCAGTGAGGTCAAAAAATTAGCATCGAAAAATGAGCTCGACTGTAGGGGGTGCGCAGCCTAGAGTAGGTGCAGCCTAGTATTGTAGTATATAAGGCGGAGTTTGGGATAATCCCACACGCGTGGGATTATAGTGGTCTTTTGGCCTAGCTGGAAAGGGCGCTCCTGGAAACAGACGCACAGCGTAAACTGAGATTAAACATGTCGATTTAACTTCAATTTGCCGAGAGGCGAAATTTCTCCTAGGAGAAGACTTGCTATATGAGGAGGATTTTTGTATATACATAACCCACCTTAGCATTAGTACATTCCATGCCCCACGGGTGGCTCCAGAGCCCCGGCTACACCGGATGGCTCCCTGGGTGTAAAACAATACCAATCAACCAACCAAGGGCGGGGCGCTCTAAAACGCACTTCTTACATCGAGACGGAAAAAAATGGATTGGAGATCATAAATTTTGACTATTATCATACATAGTTCAAAGTTTGTACAATGTACATAGATTCAATACCTCTCTATAAATCGATATATAAAATATCTCTTATTCAATGTTTAGTATAATAATCATTAATATTATATAAAATATAAAGATTATGCAACATCGATAGAGTTGAATACATCAATTTTGACATAAAGAACAATATCTCAATAACCATAAATACCACAACGAAAACACACATCAAAAACCTTATTTTAATATACGTTTTTATGATAAATATCTCCAATATTTATAAAAATAAAAAATATTAATTATGGTCAAATATCAGATCACTAAAATCATCATTTAAAATTACTAAATGAATTTATACAATATAGACCACTATCAAATATAATAAAGAATACTATAAATATCTTAAGAAAATTATACAAAGAATTTATAATACAACATAAAAAATAATTTTAAGAATTTTTATAAAAATGAAAATTAAGCTCTAATCACAAAGTTATAAAAACTTACTTATTAATTCAATATCTTTATAAATAAATTTATATTACCAATTCTAATAATTTATGTAAGAAATATAACTATAATATTATT